TATCCCACAACAGAGTTTTCACTGTTCTTCTCACAGGGCTATTAGAATAATGGTTTTAAGCCAGGTGTGGTAGCACCCACCTTTAGTCCCAGCACTTGGGAGGCAGAAGTAGGTGCATCTCTGAATTCAAGGCCAGCCTAAGATTAAATTTTACTTATGATTATTGTATATGTACATGATGTGTGAATGAGCACATATGCCACAACATGCATGTACAGATCAGAGGGCATTCTTGTAGCCTTTTTTTTCTCCTCCCACCTTGCAAGTTCAGGGATCAAACACAGATTGCCAAGTTTGTTCAGCAAGCACCTTTATCTGCTGAACCATCTTGCTGGCCCTACAAAGAGAGTTCCAAGACAGCTAGGGATACACAGAGAAACCCTGTCTCAAACAACAACAACAACAAAAAAAAAAACACCCAAAAAACAAAAAGAAAATTGCCTTAGGAGATAGAGATAAACTAAGCAGTACTGTTATCATTTTATGTTCCCTAAAATATTCATGGAATTTATTTATTTTTATTCCCACAGAGATTTGTGCGGAGAGAAGCAAACTGTTGGTGCGTTACTTACTAAATATTCTCGTTCTTCAATGCAAAATGGTGTGAAAGTTTATAATTCTAGAAGACTCATTTCTTAAAAGAATGGCACATACCCGTTTGGTGCCAGCTTGGTCTACAGAGTGAGCTCCAGGACAGGCTCCAAAGCTACAGAGAAACCCTGTCTCAAGAAACAAAAAAAGAACGGGGCACTTTTTGGAAGGACTAAATTGCTTCATAAAGTTGCTGGATATAATAAAAGAAGATTCCCTTGCCTATTTTTATTCCTGACTTTTTTAAAGATTAAATTTTACTTATGATTATTATATATGCATATGATGTGTGCATGGGCACATATACCACAACATGCGTGTAGAGATCAGAGGGCTTTCTTGTATATGTATATGATGTGTGCATGGGCACATATACCACAACATGCGTGTAGAGATCAGAGGGCTTTCTTGTATATGTATATGATGTGTGTATGGGTACATACACCACAACATGTGTGTAGAGATCAGAGGGCTTTCTTGTATATGTATATGATGTGTGCATGGGTACATACACCACAACATGTGTGTAGAGATCAGAGGACTTTCTTGTATATGTAGATGATGTGTGCATGGGTACATACACCACAACATGCGTGTAGAGATCAGAGGACTTTCTTGTATATGTAGATGATGTGTGCATGGGTACATACACCACAACATGCGTGTAGAGATCAGAGGGCTTTCTTGTATATGTATATGATGTGTGCATGGGCACATATACCACAACATGCGTGTAGAGATCAGAGGGCTTTCTTGTATATGTATATGATGTGTGCATGGGCACATATACCACAACATGCGTGTAGAGATCAGAGGGCTTTCTTGTAGTCTTTTGTCTCTCCTCCCACCTTTCCAGTTCAGGGATCAAATGCCGGTTTCCAGGCTTGCTCAGCAAGCACCTTTACCTCCCCTACTACTTGCCCTATTCTTGGTTTTTAAAACCAACTCTTTGAATACCTTTTTTCCCCTTTGCCATTTTGTAATTTACTATCCTTTCTTATTTCTCTGGTGCAATAATATATTTCCATATACTTCAGGCTACATTTTTATAATACTCACTAAATACAAGGATGAAAAATAAAAACTTCATGGTGGTGGCACATGCTTTTAATCCCAGCACTCAGGAGGCAGAGGCAAGTGAATCTCTGAATTTCAGGTCAGCCTGGTCTACAGAAGAAGTCCAAGACAGCTAGGGTTACATAGAGAAACCCTGTCTCGGGGGAAAAAAAAATCTGTAATATATATATATATATATATTGGTTTTTCGAGACAGGGTTTCTCTGTGGCTTTGGAGCCTGTCCTGGAACTAGCTCTGTAGACCAGGTTGGTCTCGAACTCACAGAGATCCGCCTGCCTCTGCCTCCCGAGTGCTGGGATTAAAGGCGTGTGCCACCATCGCCCGGCTTGTACTTTATATCTTGAAGTCTGTACGATTCTATATGTAGAAAGTTCTGCTTTTCACATATGAATTCCATATCTTTAATTAAGATTTGGTGTTCTAGTTATTAATATACTTTAAAAGTTTTCTAAATAACTATCAGTAATAGTCTCATACAAAGTTTTAGTCTGCTAAAAGGTATTTCTAAATTAAGTGGTATATTTATACATTAGTCAGGATTCAACTGGCTCACAGGCTCACAGTTCAGTTAGTCCAACAATGGCTGTGTACCAATGAAAAGTCTAAGAATCCAGTAGTTGTTCAGTATGTGAGGTTGGATGTCACAACTGGTCTTCAATAGCCTTCAGAATCTGAAAGAAGTAGGTTCTAATGCCAGTGAAGGAAAGAACTTGCCAGCAAAAGCAGGCAGACAAAGAACAAAAGCTTCCTTCTTTCGTGCCCTTATACTGGCTGCCACCAGGTGTGGCCCACACTAAAGGTGGATCCTCCCACCTCAAAAGATCCAGATTAAAATTGGGTCTTCTGACTTTAGACATTTAACTAAGGAAAATCTCTCAAGGGTGTACCAATTTGCTTGGATTGTAGTCAATTTCACATGTGGTCAGGTTGACTAACAAGAACAGCCGTCAGCCTTTGGATTAGTTGTTGACATTGGTGTGACACTGGCCTCTACTTCACTGTGCACTGTGGACAAAGTGCTTAATCCTGCATCTTCTGTGAAGGACACCAGAGGAACAGTCCAGTCCCCCACCCCCACAGGTTTATTCACCAGAGAACTGTAAATCACTTCTGGTTTTGGTCAGCCCTTCCTTTTTTCCCTGGTTGCGCCCACTCTCATCGAGGCCCCATGCTCTGTAAAATCTCAGCACTCTCTGTCTTGTGTGCTCTGGCTGTGGTTTCCCACAGTCTGCACATAGAAGCCATCAGTGATGACTTACTAGACCTGACCAGTGAAGACCTACGAGGTTCAGCTATGAGCTCCTGTGGTGGCTGTTCTTTGTCAGCTGGACTGTATCTGGAATGGAGTGAACTCCTGAAATGGAGGGCACATTTGTCATCTGGATCTTGAGGCCTGAAGGCATCTGCCTTTAATCCAGACTTTGAGGCTGGAAGGCACACCTTTAATTTGGGCCACGCCTTCTGCTGGAAGCCGGATTAAGGACAATGGAAGAAGGAAGGGTTTGTTCTTCATCTGCTTGCCCTGGCCTTGCCAGCACATCCACTCCCTCACTGGCACTGGTGCCCACTTCTTCAGGATTCCAGCATATGCAGAAGACCAGCTAAGACACCCAGCCTCGTGGCTAGATTCTTGGACTTTACATTCACAGCTAGCCATTACCGGACCTGCAGCCTGCAAGTCATTCCATTAAGTTCATATATATATATATATATATATATATATATATACACACACACATATGTGTATATACATATATATGTGTGTGTATAAATACATATTTATGGAAAGAGATTTATTCCTTAAGTTCAGTGACTATAGAGAACCCTGACTAATATACCTACTATTCCCAATCAGTGAAGGCCTACTAGATTCAACCACTGACCTACTAAACTCAACCAGTGACCAATTGAAATCAAATGAGGTAGTGTTAACTGTTGGTCTAGAGCAGTGGTTCTCAACCTGTGGGTCACGACCCTTTTGGTGGTTGTATATCAATATGGATTCATAACAGTAGAAAAATTAGTTATGAAGTAGCAACATTTTTGATGGTTGGGGTTACTACAACATGAGGGATTGTATTAAAAGGTCGGAGCATTAGGAAGGTTGAGAACCACTGGTGTAGTGGTTGACAGCAACATGGACTCAACCGCTGACCTTGACCAGAGCACAGACCTCATTTCAACTACGTGTATGTGTGTTACAAAAACACAGACTTTTGTTTCCTGTACAAACGTTGAGACAGTTGCCTCCAGCTTTCCGGAAGCCAGGGAGCCCACAGATGCTTGTATGACTTGCCAGGCAGCTTTCTGAGCAAAGATATTTAGCGGACTGGTACCTCCATAGAAAATAGTGAGTTCACCCTCAAGTGTATCTTTAAAACAGCAAAAGTTTCCATTAGCACTGCACTCTCTTCCACTTTCCAAGAAGACGCTAACTGGGAACAAGCCCAGCATTTATCTTCTGGGTCTCATATACTTTTAGAAAATAATCTAAGTCCGAGGATGCTCCCAGCAAATTGAGAAAGAGCAAGGAAGTGCTCCTGCATGAGGCTCTCTGTGGCAGGCATTTATGAGCTCTGCCTTTACCATGTGTGGGTTTAATAAATGCTCATTGGGGACAAATAATTTCTAGTTTTGGAACGTATGTTAAAGCTATGGCTTTATTTTCCTAATTAGTTTTGGTTTAGACCAAAGTTCAAATAATTCAAAATCAGCTAATGAACTTGTCCACAGGACCATTAGCAAGGGAAAGAGAAGTTAACTCCATGAAGGTGGCAAAAACTGTTATTGGACAATCCACAATTAACAGACAATTAACAGACGCTCATTTGCTACTGTGATCCTCAAGAACATGAAATGCAAATACAGTGGTTTTCAAGATGTCTTTAAATAATATTTTCTGTATTTGTGGGTGTGATTTGATTTATATCTGTAGGTGCATAAGAAATGCTGAGGTTTGGGGACTTCGGGACTTGAGAGTCCCCTGCGTTCTAACTACATTAAATTACAGGGTACAAATGGGTTGAGTTTGCTATTGAGACAGCACAACATCTTGGTTTGGGGAACATTTCTAGCTCCTAGCCCCTCACCTCGGTTATACCTGGATCCTTGACCTCCACACTTAACGTCCTCTCCCTCTCTTCCCACTCTTCTCTTCTCATCCAGCAAACCTTTCCTCTGCTCTCCTAAATTTTAGAGCTTTTAGACACGAGCGAGAAAACAGTCAAATCTTCCGCCGCACAAGCCCCGCCTACAGACACCAGCACCAGACTTCCGAATCCCGCCTTCGTCCGGTCCCACTTCCTCTGACGTAGCGGGTCAGAGGTGACCGGCAAGATGTCGGCAGTCGGCAGCCCTGAGCGTCTGTAGAGCGGCTCATTTGTGTGACAGGAGCCGGGCGGAGGCGGTTGGGAGTGGTCGAGGAGGGGACGCGAGGTCGAGGTCCGGGGACCCGGCACTGAGGGTGCACGGGTGGCTCCCCGGAATGCGCCACAGTCCCCCGAGCAGCCGGGAAGGCGAGCCGCGCGGGAGCGCTTCATGCCACCCACCGGCATAGAGACCTCCAGGATGAACAGGAAGAAAGGAGACAAGGGCTTCGAGAGCCCACGGCCGTACAAATTATAAGTACACCTTCCCACCCCTGTTTCTCGCCCTTCTTTGATTTTTGTTTCCATTTTTTCTGTGAAAGGTTTGATGGGTCTGGGAGACTAGTGGGGAACTAAGAGTTCACTCTCGTGGACCTGGTATCTGCAGCGTGAAAATGTTTTGAATGACTGTATAATAATATTCAGCTTAGCCCCCCTGCAGGCTCATAAACCCTTTTTAAATCACCGCTATATTTTTATCAATACAAACCTTTCCATGGCTCTTGCTAGATATAAAATAGAAGATTACTCACCTAGTAGGCTTTGAAGATAGAAACTTAGCAAGTTAGCTGTTTGGAACATAGATCTTATTTGTACATGGATACAGTTATGCTTTTATTTAATAATAGTCGTTTTCTTTCTTTTTTTGGTATACAACCCATCAGGTCGTCTGTATCAACAACATAAACTTCCAGAGAAAATCTGTTGTGGTAAGCTCATTTTCAGTCCCCGTAAACAGTATAAATCAGCCTTTAGCGGTTCCTAGAGATTCTGTAATCTTCCAGATGATGGTGCCTCAAGAATGAGAAACTAGAATTCAAGTCTGTTTGATTATCATATCCTTTTGCTAATTGTATTGCCTCAGTTCTCCCCACCTCCTTTCCAGATTAAAATGTTTAATGCTTATTAAGTATGTCATTTTGTACAAAGTCGTTTTAGTCAACTCTTACATTGCCTGCGTTAGACAACAATAAACCTCTAGCAAGATTTATCCCATGAACAAATTAAAATGTACACACGTTGACTTGACTTGGCGTCTAAAGGACCTGCTCTTTCTCATTCTTCACTGATATGGTTTAGGTAGTACCGCTTTGTGGTGAGATTTTGAATAGCGCTTTTTTTTTTTTTTTGGTTTATGGTTAACTGGTAAAAATTAATACAGGGGGGAAATCATTGAAAACCTAAGTACTGCCAGGCGATGGTGGCACATGCCTTTAATCCCAGCACTTGGGAGGCAGAGGCAGGCGGATCTCTGTGAGTTCGAGACCAGCCTGGTCTACAGAGCTAGTTCCAGGACAGGCTCCAAAGCCACAGAGAAACCCTGTCTCGAAAAACCAATGTGAATTAAATGGACTAGATCTTAGAGTTGCTTTGCTTTGAAAGATTATATCAGCTTCCCTGTTAGACTTGACTTATGTTTCTATAAGTGAAAGTTTAGGATTAGCTGTAAAGATAGGGAAATGTAACTTTCAAAGCAGTCTTAGAATTTTAGATTTGTAAAGATCCTCAAAAATGTCATTAGACAAAGGGAGTCCCAGGACAGGCTCCAAAGCTACAGAGAAACCCTGTCTCGAAAAAACCAAAAAGAAAAGAAAAACTGTCATTAGAGGCAGCTGCTCACTTATGGAAGGTCTCTTGTCGTGTTTGCCACAGATTGCTGTTTATCTTGAGTTTTGGGGGTAGGACACGTTAGGCGGATTATGTAGAGAACACAGAAGAATTAGGGAGTGTTTTTAAGATGTTACTCCAGCAGTATAGGGAAGATAGGACTGAGCTCTCAAGCTTAGCACTATTAAAGAGGAGTAGAGTCAGTATGACCGAATCATAGTGAATGTTAGGTGAATCCTTACTGTATGTAAGACATTGCTTAAGGTGTGTATATATTAACTCATTGAACCTTCACCGTAACCTCTTGAAGTAGGTAAGATTTCAATCCTAGCTTTATAAACGAGGGAGCTGAGAATATTGATGTTAAAAGGAAGGTAGGTAAATGAAGAATTAATAGAAGAACAAGGCAAATGCCTGCATGTAGTCTGGCAGAAGAACCTCTAGTGGTCACTGTTCAGATTTATGTGTCATTACTTTCTGTTACCATGGGGGATACCTGGTTGCTTGGATTTACTCTCCTGGAATAGAGAAATGAGGACTCCAGAGCTACCCGTTAACCTGTTCCATCATAATTGCTCTTACTTCACTGGACAGGGACCTATTATTCCTATATATGTATATTATATTATAGGGCTATAGTAGTAAACTTAGTCCTATTTTAATATACTTGATCTATGATGTCATTTATTGACATGACCTCCAAAGACTTCCTTTCTGATTACTGCACTGTGGTGATGTTTTGAGAGTTCAGATATTCTGCCAGTTTAGAAGAACCAAGCTATGATGACCCCAAGAAGGTTCAGGTGTTCTGTTTTGTTTTTGTTTTCAGAATGGATAGTGACCTGGCAGTCAGACTGCAAACCTTCTGGCTAGTCTCGGAAAATAGATTCAGGAGGCTATACAGTAGAGACTGGCTTCTCATTTACTCAGAGGGCTCTGTTCTAGGATTGTGAACTGGCTTAGGTCAGTAAATTAGATAAATAATCTCTACTACTGCACTTTGAATCAGTTTTCTTCCCAGTATGCTTAGAAACTTGCTGTTTATCAGGCAACACCATCATAAGACACCTACTTACATCTTTCTTCAGCACCTGCTAATCGGTGAGCTATTATGTTAGTTCTGTGGATCAGAATACTGTGTTTAAGATGAGCACAGTGGTAGCTCCTGTAATCCTCACACTTAGTAGGCTGAGGTGGGAAGATCAGTTGGGCTTAGGAAATTTAGACCAGCCTGAATAAAATGGAGAGACTTCCTCTTAAAAAAAACAACTGAGCATGGTGGCACACACCTGTGACACCTCAGGCTGCGGCAAGAAGACTGGGAGTTTGATGGAGCCTGGACTTCTTAGGTGATGCTGGGAGTTTGATAGAGCCTAGGCTACTTAGGTGATGCTGGGAGTTTGATGGAGCCTGGACTACTTAGGTGATGCTGGGAGTTTGATGGAGCCTGGACTGCTTAGGTGATGCTGTTTCAAAACGAAAAGGGAGAAACAGAACCACTCATGTTTATGCAGTCTTCTTCTGGGATTTATTTTGATGACTGTGCTCATTCATAAGTAAATTTTGAACATACTCTGGGCACAGGAAAATGGTACAGAGAAGAATGATTAAGTCACAGAAGAGGGTGATATGTAGAGCAGGATCTCTGAGCTGTCGTAGTGCTGCCCTGCAGAGGAGAGAGAGAAAGCTGAGGAACTTGGGACATTCAGGAGGCATTTCATTTAAATACAGTAGGTAAAGTGTTTTCAAAATGATCAAAAAACTTTCAAAAAAAGTTGTGAGTGGTAGAGAAAACCCTAATGTTGATTTGAGTTGATTTGAGATGTTAGAGGATCTGGGGTTTTGAATTGTGTCAGTGGCTAAGGATGCCGGTTTCGATGCTCGTGAAGATTAATGGGTCTGATTGTTGTATGCAAGTTGGGGCCCCATGTCATATTAGGGAACTGTTTTTCTAAAATATACTCCCTTCATTTGTATATTATTAGCATTAGTTTGTATCTTATCATCAGCCTTTTTTTTTTTGTTTAATTTTATTTATTTATTATGTCTATAGAACTCTGCCTGCCTGTATCCCTGCAAGCCAGAGAGGGCAATAGACCTCATTACAGATGGTTGTGAGCCACCATGTGGTTGCTGGGAATTGAACTCAGGACCTTTGGAAGAGCAGGCAATGCTCTTAACTGCTGAGCCATCTCTCCAGCCCTCATTAGCCTTTTTTTAATTTACTTTTTTTTATTTTTGAGACAGTCTCATTGAGCAACCCTAGGTGTCCTGAAACTGACTGTAGATCAGGCTGATCTTTGAACTCACAGAGATCTGCCTGCCTCTGTTTCCCGAGTGCTGGGATTAAAGGTGTGTGCCACTACTGCCAGCTCCAGATTCATTTGGTTCTGCTTGCTGATTTTCACTTAATCTTAAGTTCATTCATTTAGAGTGGACATCTAATGATTGACAGGGCAATTTAAGACAATTTTGGGCTAGGCATGGTGTCACATAACTTTATTTCTAACACTAGAGGCAGAGGCAGAGGCAGAGGCAGAAAGATCTCTTTGAGTTTGAAGTCAACTGGATCTCTAAGGAGAATTCTAGCCCAGCTAAAACTACATGGAGGGAAGGGAGTCTATGTATTTTGGGATTCCTGCTACACTGGCTCATGAGTTATACATTTTCTTTTTCCAACACAGGATTGGTAGATCAGGCTAGCTTCAAACTGGTCATCCTGTCTCCACTTCTCAAGCCCAAATGCTAGAAGCATGTGTTATTACCAGTTTAGTTTGTACTTTTAACTTTTAAAAAGTTTAAAGCTTTCTTCACAATATTTTGGCCTTTCCTCTTTCTGATGTCAACCGTTGATCATGCTGATGGTCTGATTTAAGAGTGGCGACTCTTATTTGAGATCTGGGAGCTTGAGGAATTGGTCTAAAGGATATACAGAAAATATTCATGAACTTTATTTAAATCCCTTGTACCCAGAGCATTATAGACTAGTAGGAACAGACAGGTCTAGATCTAGCTAACATTTTCTTTCTTTCTTTCTTTCTTTCTCTCTCTCTCTCTCTCTCTCTCTCTCTCTCTTTCTGTTTATGTATAAAAGTTAACAGTTAAAATACTTTCCACTAGTACATACTTCTTAGGGCGTCAGTGTAAATGTTTCAAGTAGCACTCTTTCCCTCAGAGCTGGTATCAGAATTAGAGGACACCTCAGAAGGTAGTGTGGCATCTGACATGTAGTTCTGGCCATTAGATCCAGTCCTCTGTGCTGATGGCTTGATTGCTCGTAGACACTCCTGTTGGAACCTCTGAAGTTTTTATACTTACTACCTCTGAAAGATGCCATAGTTCATGTGTAATCCTAACAGTTTCCATTCGGGAATATGAAAAGCATTGGCCATGCAGTCCATATTTCAACCAGCCTTTTCCATTGAGTCAATGAAGAATGTTGGTAAGAATCTTTAACAGTTGGTTGTATTATAGGTGGTTTCTCTAGATGACCTGCACATCCCTCAGGTAACACGGCAGAAGTGTACAGCACATGGGACTGCTTGGCAGGAAATCGGTCAGCATTTGGAAGTACTGCTGCTTCTACCTGCTTTTGCTTCCTCTGGCAATACTTGCAGATATATATCTCCTCATTTATCTCCCGTGAAGAGACTCACACTTGTGGCTTCAGTAGTGTAGATTTTTAAGCCCACATTCTTTGTGCCATCAGATTCTTTTACATCAGCCTCCTGGTTGTGACCATTTTTACCGTTTCTGTTCCTTTAGCCTATTTTGGTTACAGTCTGCCTAGAACTTCTTGTGTTTCAGACTAGAGAGTATTTTTACTTTTCTAGTCAGTGGCTTACTTATCACAAGTTAAACAGATGAAGGAAGCACCAGGGTGGGAAAATCTAGATAAATTATACTCATTCATCTACTGGTACAATTAATGTTTGAAACAGATTCTTGGGGTGCAATCGTGTGTATGTGGCTATTTGGGATTTTATCTTTGGAGGAGGCATAAAGAAATATGCTAAAGAAATATGCTGGGGTGGGGGAATGTGCTGTAAACTTTCCTGCATTTGTAATAGCTGTTCTTTATCTTTACAGGGATTCGTGGAGTTGACTATATTTCCTACAGTTGCAAACTTGAATAGAATCAAATTGAACAGTAAACAGTGTAGAATATACCGAGTCAGGATCAATGACTTGGAGGCTGCTTTTATTTATAATGATCCAACTTTAGAAGTTTGTCACAGTGAATCAAAACAGTAAGTTGTACACCTTAAGTTTATGTTTTTTTTTTTATTAATTTATTTATTTATTAAGGATTTCTGCCTCGTCCCCACAACCGCTTCCCATTTCCCTCCCCCTCCCCCGATCAAGTCCCCCCCCCTCATCTGCTCGAAGAGCAATCAAGGTTCCCTGACCTGTGGGAAGCCCAAGGACTGCCCACCTCTATCCAGGTCTCGTAAGGTGAGCATTCAAACTGCCTAGGCTCCCACAAAGCCAGTACGTGCAGTAGGATCAAAAACCCACTGCAATTGTTCTTGAGTTCTCAGTATTCCTCATTGTCCGCTATGTTCAGCTAGTCCGGATTTATCCCATGCTTTTTCAGACCTAGGCCAGCTGGCCTTGGTGAGATCCCAATAGAACATCCCCATTGTCTTAGTGTGTGGGTGCACCCCTCGTGGTCCTGAGTTCCTTGCTCGTGCTCCGTCTCCTTCTGCTCCTGATTTGGACCTTGAGATTTCTGTCTGGTGCTCCCGTGTGGGTCTCTGTCTCTGTCTCCTTTCATCGCCTGATGAAGGTTAATATTCCTGAGGATGCCTATGTGTTTGTCTTTGGATTCACCTTATTTAGCTTCTCTAGGAACATGAATTATAGGCTCAATGTCCTTTATTTATGGCTAGAAACCAAATATGAGTGAGTACATCCCATGTTCCTCTTTTTGGGTCTGGCTTACCTCACTCAGGATAGTGTTTTCTATTTCCATCCATTTGTATGCAAAATTCAAGAAGTCCTTGTTTTTTACTGCTGAGTAATACTCTAATATGTATATATTCCATACTTTCTTCATCCATTCTTCCGTTGAAGGGCATCTAGGTTGTTTCCAGGTTCTGGCTATTACAAACAATGCTGCCATGAACATAGTTGAGCATATACTTTTGTTGTATGATAGGGCCTCTCTTGGGTATATTCCCAAGAGTGGTATTGCTGGATCCAGGGGTAGGTTGATCCCGAATTTCCTGAGAAACCGAAACACTGCTTTCCAGAGTGGTTGCACAAGTTTGCATTCCCACCAGCAATGGGTGAGTGTACCCCTTTCTCCACAACCTCTCCAGCAAAGGCTATCATTGGTGTTTTTTATTTTCGCCATTCTGACAGGTGTAAGGTGGTATCTTAAAGTTGTCTTGATTTGCATTTCCCTGATCGCTAAGGAAGTTGAGCATGACCTTAAGTGTCTATTGGCCATTTGAAGTTCTTCTGTTGAGAATTCTCTGTTCAGATCAGTGCCCCATTTTATAATTGGGTTGATTAGCCTTTTACGGTCTAGTTTCTTGAGTTCTTTATATATTTTGGAGATCAAACCTTTGTCAGTTGCAGGGTTGGTGAAGATCTTCTCCCAGTCAGTGGGTTGTCTTTTTGTCTTAGTGACAGTGTCCTTTGCTTTACAGAAGCTTCTCAGCCTCAGGAAGTCCCATTTATTCAATGATGCCCTTAGTGTCTGTGCTGCTGGGGTTATACATAGGAAGTGGTCTCCTGTGCCCATGTGCTGTAGAGTACTTCCCACTTTCTCTTCTATCAGGTTCAGTGTGTTCGGACTGATATTGAGGTCTTTAATCCATTTGGATTTGAGTTTTGTGCATGGTGATAGATATGGATCTATTTTCATTCTTCTACAGATTGACATCCAGTTTTGCCAGCACCATTTGTTGAAGATGCTCTCTTTTTTCCATTGTATACTTTTAGCTCCTTTATCGAAGATCAGGTGTTCATAGGTTTGTGGGTTAATGTCAGGGTCTTCTATTCGATTCCATTGGTCGACTTCTCTGTTTTTATGCCAATACCAAGCTGTTTTCAATACTGTAGCTCTGTAATAGAGTTTGAAGTCAGGGATGGTAATGCCTCCAGACAAACCTTTATTGTATAAGATTGTTTTGACTATCCTGGGTTTTTTGTTTTTCCATATAAAGTTGATTATTGTCTTCTCCAGATCTGTGAAGAATTTTGATGGGATTTTGATGGGGATTGCATTGAATCTATAGATTGCTTTTGGTAGAATTGCCATTTTTACTATGTTGGTCCTCCCAATCCAAGAGCAAGGGAGGTCTTTCCATTTTCTGGTGTCTTCTTCAATTTCTTTCTTCAAAGACTTATAGTTCTTGTCAAGTAGATCTTTCACTTCCTTGGTCAGGGTTACCCCAAGGTATTTTATGCTATTTGTGGCTATCGTGAAAGGTGATGCTTCTCTGATTTCCCTCTCTGCTTCCTTATCCTTGGTGTATAGGAAGGCAACTGATTTTTTGGAGTTGATCTTGTATCCTGCCACGTTACTAAAGCTGTTTATCAGCTGTAGGAGTTCTTTGGTAGAATTTTTGGGGTCGCTTATGTACACTATCATATCATCTGCAAATAACGAAAGTTTAACTTCTTCCTTTCCAATACGAATCCCCTTGATCTCCTTATGTTGTCTTATACCTATTGCTAGAATTTCAAGCACTATATTGAAGAGGTATGGCGAGAGTGGACATCCTTGTCGTGTTCCTGATTTTAGTGGGATGGCTTTGAGTTTTTCTCCGTTTAATTTAATGTTAGCTGTTGGCTTGCTGTAAATAGCTTTTATTATATTTAGGTAGGACCCTTGTATCCCTATTCTCTCCAAGACCTTTATCATAAAGGGGTGTTGAATTTTGTCGAATGCTTTTTCCGCATCTAGTGAAATGATCATATGGTTTTTTTCTTTCAGTTTATTTATATGGTGGATTACATTGATAGATTTGCGTATGTTGAACCAGCCCTGCATCTCTGGGATGAAGCCTACTTGATCATAATGGATAATTTTTCTTATGTGTTCTTGGATTCAGTTTGCCAGTATTTTATTGAAGATTTTTGCGTCGATGTTCATGAGTGAGATCGGTCTGTAATTCTCTTTCTTGGTTGGGTCTTTTTGTGGTTTTGGTATCAGGGTAACTGTAGCTTCATAAAAGGAATTTGGCAATGACTCTTCTGATTCTATATTGTGAAATACCTTAAGGAGTATAGGTATTAATTCTTCTTGGAAGTTCTGGTAGAATTCTGCATTGAAACCATCTGGTCCTGGGCTTTTTTTCGAAGGGAGATTTTTGATAACCATTTCTAATTCTTCGCGAGAAACCGGTCTATTTAGATCATTCACCTGGTCTTGGTTTAGCTTTGGTATATGATACTTATTTAAAAAAATGTCCATTTCTTTTGTATTTTCCAGTTTTGTGGCATACAGGCTTTTGTAGTAAGATCTAATGATTCTCTGAATTTCCTCTGTGTCTGTGGTTATGTCCCCCTTTTCATTTCTGATCTTATTTATTTGCGTGTTCTCTCTCTGTCGTTTAATTAGTTTGGATAGGGGTTTGTCGATCTTGTTGATTTTCTCCAAGAACCAGCTTTTTGTTTCATTGATTCTTTGGACTGTTTTCTGTGTTTCTATTTTGTTGATTTCAGCCCTCAGTTTTATTATTTCCAGTCTTCTACTTCTCCTGGGCGCGTCTGCTTCTTTTTTTTCTAGAGCTTTCAGGTGTGTTTTTAAGTCCCCAATGTATGCATTCTCCGTTTTCTTTAAGTGGGCACTTAGTGCTATGAACTTTCCTCTTAGCACTGCTTTCATTGTGTCCCATAGGTTTGAGTATGTTGTCCCTTTATTTTCATTAAATTCAAGGAAGACTTTAATTTCTTTCTTGATTTCTTCCTTGACCCAGGTGTGGTTCAGTAGTCGACTGTTCAGTTTCCATGAGTTTGTCGGTTTTTTGGGGGCAGCGTGGTTGTTGCCTTCTAACTTTAATCCGTGATGATCTGATAAGACACAGGTGGACACTGATATTTTTTTGTATCTGTGGAGGTTTCCTTTGTTTCCGAGTATGTGGTCAATTTTTGAGAAGGTTCCATGAGCTGCAGAGAAGAAGGTATATTCTTTCCTATTTGGGTGGAATGTTCTATAGATGTCTGTTAAGTCCATTTGCTTCATTACCTCCAATAATTCTCTTAATTCTCTATTAGGTTTCTGTCTGATTGACCTGTCCCTTGGAGAGAGAGGTGTGTTGAAGTCTCCTACTACTAGTGTGTGTGGTTTGATGTCTGCCTTGAGTTCTAGTAATATTTCTTTTACATAAGTAGGTGCTTTTATATTGGGGGCGTATATATTCAGGATTGAGACGTCCTCCTGATGAATTGTTCCTGTTATGAGTATAAAGTGACCGTCTCGGTCTCTTCTGATTGATTTTAGTTTGAAGTCAGTTTTGTTAGAAATTAGTATGGCCACACCTGCTTTTTTCTTAGGACCATTTGCTTGAAACACCTTTTCCCAACCCTTTACTCTGAGTAGGTGCCTGTCTTTGTGGTTGAGATGTGTTTCTTGCAAACAGCAGAATGTTGGATCCTGTTTTCGTATCCAATCTTTTAGCCTGTGCCTTTTTATAGGTGAATTGAGCCCATTAATATTAAGTGATATTAATGACCAGTGGTTGTTTACTCCGGTTATTCTTATTGCTTTTGGTAGTAGAGATTGTGTGTCTCCTTTCTTTGAGATGTGCTCGTGAAGGGTCATTAGATGCCTGGGTTATTGTAGGCAGTGTTGGCAGTGTTGGATTCCTTGGGTTGCGATTTTCCTTCTATTACTTTCTGTAGGGCTGGATTTGTGGCTACGTATTGTTTAAATTTGTTCTTATCCTGGAATGTCTTGTTTTCTCCGTTGATAGTGAACGATAGCTTGGCTGGGTATAGTAGTTTGGGTTTGCATCCATGGTCTCTTAGCTTCTGCAGAACCTCTATCCAGGACCTTCTGGCTTTCATAGTTTCCATCGAGAAGTCAGGTGTAAGTCTGATCGGTTTACCTTTATAAGTTACTTGCCCTTTTTCTTTTGCAGCTCTTAATATTCTTTCTTTAACCTGTATATTTTGTGTTTTGATTATTATATGGCGAGGAGATGTTTTTCTTTGATCCAGTCTGTTTGGTGTTCTGTATGCTTCTTGAATATTTAAATGAATATCTTTCTTTAAGTTGGGAAAGTTTTCTTCCATAATTTTGTTGAAAATATTTTCTGAGCCTTTGAGCTGTGACTCTTCTCCTTCTTCTATTCCTATTATTCTTAGGTTTGGTTTTTTTATTGTGTCCCATAGTTCCTGAATGTTTTGTGTTGAGAATTTGTTGGCTTTGCTGTTTTCTTTGATCTGTTCGTTTATTTTCTCTATGGTGTCCTCAGCATCTGAGAGTCTTTCTTCTAGCTCTTGTATTCTATTGATTATGCTTGTTTCTGAAGACTCTGCTCGTTGGCCTAGATTTTCCATATCCAGTTGGTCCTCAGTTTGTATTTTCTTCTTTTCCTTCATTTCAGTTTTCAATTCTTGAACTGTTTCCATTACCTGTTTGATGGTTTTTTCTTGGTTTCCCAGGGTATCATGTACGTATTTACTCATTTCTTCAAACTTTTTGTTATACTTCTCATCCATTTCTATAAGGGCATTTTTTACATGTTGTTTAAGGGACTCTATTATCTTCATAAAGTCGATTTTTTCCACTTCTTCTGTGTTAGGTTGTTCAAATACTTCTGTTGTAAGATCATTGGGTTCTGATGTTTTCATGTTGTTTTTCGGATTATTGGGTGAGTTCTTGCCTTGGCGCCTGCCCATCTCCTCCTATTGATCCTATCCAATGGATCCTTTAGAAACCGGATCAGGTTTCCCTGCTGGCCAAGGGCTCCGCTTACAAAATGCCCTCACTCTCTTTTGTGGTTCCTGCTGCAGGCCAAGAACCCTCTCACCCCTCGGAAGGATCTTCAGGACAGGACCAGGCTCCCCTTGTGCCAGTGACCTGGCCAACCAAAGGCCTACCTCTTTGATTCAATTGTAGTAGGGCGATCTGCTCTCCTTATTGCACGCCTGTCCCAGCTGCTTGGGTCTGGCCGCCGCTCAGCCGCATCTGGCGCCGCTGCCTCCGCTGCGCCTCTGTGCGTCTGGTGCCGCTGCCGCCGCTGCTGCGCCTCTGTGCGTCTCAAGTTTATGTTTCTAAGACATTCTATCAGTTGTTTTTAGTGATTGCCGGGTTAATGTTTTTCAGTAAATTTTCCACTATATATAATAGATCTATGTGTTATATAATTTCTGTTGCTTTTACTGCACTGAACATTTGTCTTAAGGATTTTCCCACTTTGCCCAGCGTAGTAAGTTATTAAATTTCTCTTCCTCATACTGCAGCTTTAAAGAAGCATTATCTGAAAAGTTTCAGTACATTTATTTTTGAGAAATTGTCTTAACCAGTTTTCTGTTTTAATGTTATGTAAGTGTTTACTTCATAAATACCAAAAAATTGTTTCAATGACTTGGATAGTCACCGTCATCTTCAGACCAGAGACATTTTAGAATAGTCTATTAAGTGTTTGCACTATTTTAGAGTATCTTAGGAGATGCTGTATCCACTGTCAGCTGAATTTGAGAGCATTTTTGAAAAGTCTTGGTAGCCCTAGGTCATATTCTTTCTGTGATTTTCAGTGTGCTGTAGTGGGATGCCAAACTCAGCTTTAAATTTTTAGTCAAGATTGTATTTTAACTGGCCTAGGATTGTGTCATATTGCCTTAAAAACAGCAGTTCTCAAAGGTATTCTCAGAAAAGCAGTACATCATCACCTATGAACTTTTAAGATCTGTCAAATCTCAGGTATTGCCCAAACACACTGAGTCAGACAGCATAGAGTTCTTCAAGTTGTGCTAAGCAAAGCTTCTGGGTAATTCTGATAAGGTCTAAAACTTGAGACTACTTCAGCCAGGGGTTAGAAGACTTGGGGACCTGGGTCTTATCCTTAGACACAATTGTGATGCCAATAATCATTGGTTTAGAATCTTTCAAGCTCAGGAAGGAGATAGAAAAATGGTGTTGGAAAAATTCAGGGACCTCTGAATAATTCCTTTAAGTTTCCTTTCCATGAAGGTGAGTTGCTAAAATCACAGTGCTTATACCGACAGAATAAGACTCATTACAAAACTATCTGCAGATCCTGTTCTGCTGAAGAAAATAAAATCTGCTCAGAGTAGTCAACTATATTATCACTAGTGAATGGAAGACAGGCCTGTAAAAACCCACTGTCTGCTAGAGGATAGAGTACCTACCCTGTTCAGCCTTGAACTCTGCATTCAAGATAGAGTAAGAGGCTAATCACAGAATACATCTGTTTTTAGCCAATAATTTGTTGGGAGTACCCAGCACTCAAAAGAGAATGGCCTAGGATCTGGAATAGTGTACCGCAGGAGCTGTGGGCATCCTGGGCTGTTAAGGAAGACAGCTTTGCTTTGCTCTGTATTTGAAGATAACCTCATCTTTTAGCATATGTGCAGCCTAAAGTACTAAGATAACCTTAATGTTTTCTCCGGTGGACAAGGAATCATCCCTTTCAGTGTGAGGAAAGGAGTTATAATGGAAAATCTTTTCAACCTTTAGGCAGTTGGTAGATACAGAATATACTTAGTATATACCAGGCTGTTCTGGAACTCACTGTGTTGACTAGGCTGGCCTTGAATTTGAGGTAATTCCCGGTCTCAATCTCTCAACTACTAGAATTATAGCCTTAAGCCTTCACAGATAGCCTGTATTTGTTGTTGTTTTTCCTTGTCTTTATTCTCTGATTTGTTCAAAATGGGATTGCAGTTGGCTTTAGAGAGAAAAGGCTCTAAAAGTAGCTGATTAGTTGGTGCAGAGGGTAAAGAGATGCATTTTATACATTGTTACTTAGTTACTGTCCAGTTCTTTAGAGGACTTGCTTCTGGTATTCCTGGTTCTCATAGCAGAGGAAGATGTTTGTTTATATATTTTGGTGTTGAAAAGGGTCTTATGTAGCCCTAGATGGCTTCAGACTCACTTTGTAGCTAAGGGTGACTTTGAACTTCTGGCCTTCTTACCTACCTGGTGCTGAAGCAGCTCCAGCTGTGCCCTAGCTAATACTCCTGTGTGCCTGGCAACACTGTAGTTTGTAGGCTCAGAGCACAGAAACCTCAGTTATTCCAAAGAAACTATTTTACTTACATGAAAATTACTTTAATTTTTATGGAATTATTTTTTATAAAAATTAAATTTTTTATAAAAATAAAATTTTATTCATAATTATAAAATGCTTTAAATATATCAGTATTTTGAAATATTGGTCTTTTATAAATGCAAATATCTGTATACACATGCATGCAGGTACATACCCTGTACAGTCTTTACATTTATATTAGAAAAACTAACATTAGAAAAGTAGTGATTTTGGCATTCCAGAGTTCATGAAGGGATGTGAACACAATGATCACTTTAATGGTTCTTTTTGGCTGTTGAATTTTTTGTTTTTCTCTTTTTTCTTCTCCCTCCCTTTCTCCCTTCTCCCTTTATCTCCCTCCCCCACCCCTCCCTTCCTTTTTGTTGTGAGCACAGGCTGTCCTTGACCTTCATAGAATCCTCCTGCCTCTGCTTCCTGTGCGCTGGGGTCAAAGGCATGCTCCACTGTGTCCATCACATTATTAGTTCTTAACATGGGGAACAGCATTAGTAGTAGTTAGCTTGGCTAAAAAGAATTCTTAGTGAATTGTGTAAGAAGACATAGTACTTACAAATAATAGATGTCCTTTGATATTTAGAAAGATGTTGATGAACTATGTGGCTTATTGTTATTACAAGTTGGCTTTTTCTCTCCCCAGGAGAAATCTCAACTATTTTTCCAATGCGTATGCAGCTGCGGTTAGTGCTGTGGATCCTGATGCGGGGAATGGAGAGCTCTGCATTAAGGTTCCCTCAGAGCTCTGGAAGCATGTCGATGGTAAAACACCAGGAATGCATTACTGCACAGCGAAGTGAAGCCTATTGGGTGTAGAGGCCAGAGAGTTAGTGATGCCTAACCTGTAAACTAACTACTGCTGGAAATGCACAAAGGGGTTAGAAAAGTGTCTCCTTCTTTAGGGTCATGGGTTGATAGGAGTGTGTTAAGTACAGGCTCTTACAAAAGTAGCTGGTCTCTCTGTTTCCTATAGTGTTGGGAAACCAGGGCTTTGTAGATGCTAGGCATGTTACTAGGTTGTGCCACCGGCTCCTTTCATTGTTCTTTGTTTGTTTTGTTTTTTAATGAAAAGTACTTTAGAAATCGTATGGGTAGAGCATGTGTGAGATCCATTTGGAATATCATTTTTGCAGCTCTAATGGTCCTAAAAATCTTCTGGTTCAATTTCTTCTTATTACTGAAAAGCATTCTCAGCTCCCACAACGTAAGTTCACTGAGCTGATCTGTGGATGAGCAGAAGCTGGGACTCAGGCTCTTGCCACATGTCCTGTGTACTCTAAGTTTGTCTCCTTTAAAGTTTCATTTTCGTTCCTTTAAAATTTAGCCATTGTGATTATTGTCTGAAAACTTCTTTCTACCTTTATTTAGTCTCAAAAGTCAAGGAAAGAAGAAAAAAAGCACTTTGTTTTCATTGTGCTTGGGAGCAGGTGTAGGGCTCATGTAGAAGCTTTTTACTATTCACAGGGGGGGAATTAAATTTACTTTTAGCCTAATGCTAACAAGGCTTTTTTACTACACAGAAATAAAATATAATTTGGAAACATATAAATGATGCAGTTTCATGAGTAATCAATATCCTCCATCTACCCTCTGCTCTTTATTCTCCAAAGCCAAAAATACAGTTAACAGTTTGGGAGAAAATACAAAAGGGGGAAATCTTGAGAAGTAGAATTGCAGTTGGATTTGAAAGGCTTTAAAGCATCCACATTAGGGTTTGTGAATTTTTTTCTGAAAACATTACATGTCAAAAATGTTGAGAAGAAAATATGATACGCCTGGTGTTGTGCTGTGTTAGAAACCTCAAGCGGCAGTTAGATTGATTGGAGGCACACTGTCAGCCGGTGTAAGTGGAAACACTATAAAGCCTGCACTGTGGCAAGTGCTGTGGCTTCTTTGTTTTTATGTAGTGGGATTTGACCCCAGGCCTCTAGCATCTGTGCAAGTGTCCCACCAGTGGAGCTACATCCCAAGCAGCTCCTAGATTCTTAATAGAATGCTCAGACTGTGGTTTTCATTGTAGTATCTTCACTGTATAGGTTACTGTTGCTTATTTGTATGTCAGTGAATGTATGTATTTATTTGTTGCAGAGTTAAAGGTTCTGAAGATACATATTAACTTCTCTTTGGATCAGCCAAAAGGAGGTCTTCATTTTGTGGTACCCAGTGTAGAGGGCAGTATGGCAGAGAGAGGTGCTCATGTCTTCTCTTGTGGGTATCAAAATTCTACAAGGTAGGTTATAAATTCATATATTTTAATTAACTTTATTTTTGTAACTGTACTTTTGTGTATTCAATATGCTGTGTGTTTATTCATTTAGAGTGACAAGTGTAAGCTTGATTCCCCCCAAACTGCCTCTGAATCATGCTGTACTGATTATTCTTCCTCAGTCTTATTATTTCTTTCATTATGTTTTCCTTTAGGGAATAATCCTGAAATAATCTGTCAGCTTGATTCTTTTACCGTATAGTGAAGTTCAGCATACATGCAGAAAACTGTATACATTTAAATGTAAAAACATCACTTCACCAACAAACAAACCTATTGAGCTCACACTCAGATCAACACAAACAGCATCAGCACGTGGCGGAGTTTCCTCTGCTTCCATTCAGCATTCCCACTTGGCATTCTGTCTAGTTACTGTGTTTCTGAAATACCGTTGGTTGTGCTTGCTTTTGAATTTTATGTAAATGGACTCATTCATGCTTTTTGTTCTTTATAGCTAGCTTTTTTGTTGTTTAATGATAATAGGTTTACCTACATCTTTATATGAAATCATAATCCATTCATTCTCTTGGCCTGTAGTTCACTACATGTTACTGAAGCGTTTTTCTCAGATGATTAATTCTTTTAAGTCAAAGATTGTGTTCTAGAGTTATTTGTATTTTGGTATCTTATACTGATTCTATCATATAGTAAGACCTGACCTGAGATTCTAAGTGTAAAGTATCTTCTGTACTGTTAATGTGTTTGTAGATTTTGGTTCCCATGTGTTGATTCATACTCTGAGCTGTGCACATGGAAGTTAGAATTTACAGTAGACGCTGCAATGGTCGCCGTGTCCAATGGGGATTTGGTGGAGACGGTGTACACGCATGATATGAGGAAGAAGACCTTCCACTATATGCTTACTATTCCGACAGCAGCATCCAATATCTCCTTGGCCATTGGGCCTTTTGAAATCCTCGTAGATCCATATATGCATGAGGTAAGGCATTTCACATATCTTCTTCTCCTCTGCACTTTCACTCCTCATGAAAAGAAGGCACTAATAAAATAGTGTTGACTCTATTTGGGGTGTCTACTTTTTTAATCTTGACCTTTCAGACTATTTCAGGTTTTTTTTGTTTTGTTTTGGTTTGAGGTTTGTTTTATTGTTTGTTTGTTTTTCTGAGACAGTCTTACTACATAGTCAAGGTTTTCCTCAAACTTATGACAATATCTTCCTGCCTCAACTTCCTGAGTACTGAGGTATGCACCACAACATCTGACTTTCATCTGTCAAACTTTGTCTACCATGAAATAATTGTCTATGATACCACATTTTTATTTTATTTTATTTATTTACTTATTTATTTTGGTTTTTCAAGACAGGGCTTAACTGTAGCTTTGGATCCTGTCCTAGAACTAGCTCTTGTTTACCAGGCTGGCCTAGAACTCAGAGATCTGCCTACCTCTGCCTCCCAAGTGCTGGGATTAAAGGCGTGTGCCACCACCACTCAGCACGATACCATCTTCTAGATGAAACCTTCCTGGGTTTTTGTTTGTTTTGAGACAGTCTCACTATGCTAGCATGCGATGCCCTTTTTACTCTTCTGGAGGTGATGGAACCTGGGAGAACAGAGCTGATGAATGAAGCTGACTAGTCTCATAACAACCAACTTTATTCAGAGCACCAGACAGTTTATACCCTGGTTAAGTGGAGTCATGTGAGTAAAGTGTACATGTGCAAGGACAAGCTGTGTGTGGCTGCACAGGGCACAGCACATTTTTCCGTAGAGACATAGACAGCAGTAGCAGTTGTAAAGAGTGATCTGAAGGAAACTCCTGTCTGCTGGACTGGGCAGGGGCACGGAAGCACATTCCAAGAACACTTCCACGTTTTTGAAGAGAGTGAGATCATAAGCCTCTTGCCTTGGCTTCTTGAGGTTTTCTCACCAGCACTCAGTATTCTCCTCACACAGCTCCATTCTTGGAACATGGACAGACACTCTCTAGAGCTGGGATTACTGATTTGTGCCACTGTTCCTGGCGTCTTCATTCATTTGGCATAGAATTGTTTCATGAGACAGTCTATGATAATGGTTTTGTATTTAGCGAATATGAAAAGCATGACTATTATTTCTGCTGTGGATATCTTATTGCCAGTGTGTCTCCCCGGTGTTCAGTGTGTAGCTGGCACACTGGAGGACCAGCATGGCTGGAGTGGCTGATCCTGGGATGCAGGCAGTTCTGATGAGCATGAACTCCTTTCTACTAGGCCTCATGTGTAGCCCAGACTGGCTTCAGCCTCACAAGAGTTAGAATTACTGTTATGAGCCACCACACCAGGCGGCAACAGACGATTAATTCTTAGATTCAGGCACTGAGATTTGGTGATACTTGCCAGGCATGTGGAAAGTATTGGGTTCAATCTTCAACATTTTACACATACACACACACACTTACTAAAATATTAATATAAAATATGCAGTATTTCCTAAGTTTAGACACATGAATAAGAGATTATACTAAGCCTTAAATTTAAATTTTTCTTGTTTGTAACCAGTTTTATTCTCATTGTGTTTAAGCTTTTAATAAACTTTATAATCCATTTTAAATTTAATTTTTAGTACAATGAACATTTTATAAACCCGACCTGAAAAGCTGAATAATTTTGCAACAGCTATTTTCAACATTATGAAATGTATTAAAAACTAACTATGTCCTTTTTTGAGATGATTGTCCTTTTATTTTCAGGTTACACATTTTTGTTTACCCCAACTTCTTCCGTTGCTTAAACATACCACGTCGTACCTTCATGAAGTTTTTGAATTTTATGAAGAAATTTTGACTTGTCGCTATCCGTACTCCTGTTTTAAGACTGTCTTCATTGATGAGGCTTACGTTGAAGTGGCCGCTTATGCTTCTATGAGTATTTTTAGGTTAGTGTCTCTTCAGGTGGGGACTATCTAAATTAGGGTAGTGATTTAAAAAAAAAAAACTATTGACTGTATGATCAGTTTTCAGATTGGCTTTGAACTTCTGGTGTGACTGAGTTTGTAGGTAACTGGGTTTTTGAACTTCTGGTGTCACCGAGTTTGTAGGTAACCAGGTGTCTTTGAAAATGTTACAGTGTAGCTTCCTCCATAAGGAAGTGGCACATCCCAGTGCCTGCCTGCAGAATGATCATTCACATTTCCATTCCTGGCTTATTTCTGAATGTTTATAAATTTTAGCTTACACATTTATGCATCATTAGTGTGTCTTTTTGGTAGCACTGTACAAATGTACTGGCATCCTCAATTTGTTGTTAAAAAAACATAACAGATTTTTTTTCTTTGTTTTAGCTCTTCTTTTCTGTCCCCCCCCCCTTTTTTTTTAGGGGAGGATGCAGGGTTCAAAATTTGTAAGTTTTATGTGTCAGGGAAGTTGTTTTACTTTCCTGTCCCTAAAAGTTCTCATGTGTCATGTGAGATACTAGTCAGTCCTATGTATTCTCCAGAACACAGTTGGAAAAATTGAATGGAGCAATGTACTTAGAAGTAAACAACAGAGGACCAAAATTTACTAGACACTAGAAGAAGGGTTTCATTTTTGTTATTGGTTTTCTGGTTTGGGGAGAAGTATCTCCACACTATGTGTTCAGGCTGTCCGTGCACTGGACAGAATGCTGGTTCACTGGAGTGTGCCTCTACATCCAGCCTGTGCAAGGATTTTTGAAATTAAGTAACCCCATTTTATTTGTATTCATATCTGATTAACACACTAGTTTCTTCTTAACTCCCCAAAATAGTGAATTATATTTTTTGTAAAATCAATAGAAAACATTGTCATTGTGTTCCTTGCTTTAGACAGATTGTGAATTTCAGATAAACTCTGAAAAGATAGAAAAACCCTGGGGTGAATATTCTTGCCTTTTTTTTTTTTTTTTTGAGCTTGAACCTAAAACTAAATTGCTTTAGGAGCACAGGTGCTGTATTTTGACTGACTGACTGTGCGTCCTTGGCTCTAAGCCCCTTCTGTGTCCTTGGCTTCCAGCACAAACCTTCTGCACAGCGCCATGATTATCGACGAGACCCCACTGACCAGACGGTGCCTAGCGCAGTCCTTAGCACAGCAGTTCTTCGGCTGCTTCATATCCAGGATGTCCTGGTGAGTGTGTCGGAACTGCAGGCTCAGCTGAGGGTCAGGAAAGCTGACCTCCCTCCTCTTCCCTCTTGTTCTCTGACAGACTTTCGTGTGGTCCATGTTACCCCCAAACTTACTATGTAGCTGAGTCTGGCCTTGAACTGACAGTGATGCACCTGCGTCTACCTCTGAAGGGGACGACGGGTATGTGCAGCTGAGCTTCACTCCACGTTCCTTCTTCTCCTGTGTTGTAGACTGGCTATTGCCCATAATCTACAAATGGGGAGTTATTTTGAGAGATTGTCTCAAAAAAGAAAACAATTAGTAAAATTTTATCTTAACTATTTAAAATCAGCTTTATGAATCAGACTTTAATTAATGGGGCATGATGTCACAAGCTTTTAACTTGAGCACTCAACAGGCAGGTGGATCTTTGTGTGTTTGAGGCCAGTCTGATCTATGTAGCAAGTTCAGACAAGCACCCACTATGTGCTGAGACCGTGTTTCAAAAAAGAAAAAAAATAAGCAGTAGAGTTGCTTACATAATTTACCATAAAATAAGAATTCTGAAAAATAATAGATGTATAAAATGCTGATTTGAATGTATAGAAAACTAATTAGAATTCAAATGTCAATGTTCAGATCAGTTGGAAAATGTATTTGAGATGATTTTTAAAACAAAGTAATTATCTTCAACAGTAGTGATAATGGTGTAGAGAATTTGCCTTTTAGTTTTTAGATTTTTGCTAGTTTTCTTGAAAGAGGGGAAGGAGAAACACTTTTGTAGCTTGGGTACAGCCCAGAGGTGGAGGGCTCTCTGTAGTGCTGGACCCTCAGTTTGAGCCCCAACACTGAAAAAAACGAGATAATCTTTCTTTTCTTCATCTTGAGATGAATTTTGTATTTTTTGTTGGGGGGGGGAGGGAGAATTCTTAGCACTGAGGCTCCTGTTGGCTTAGAACCAGAATGTAGACCAGGTTGGCCTCAGACTCTGCCTTCTGAGTGCTAGGATTACAGACAGAAGTCGCCATCTAATTTCTTTTCTATTTTAGTAATGTAGGATTCCACTTCTGTCTTATTTTTTACAAATATAATGTTACTGTTGTATGTGGTTGATGGATATATGTGAGCAGATGAGTAAGGTTGGGGCCAACTGCCTTTTCTCTAGAGAGAGTACAAATATTAAACAGTTTAAGGATATTGTAAAACCTGGGTGGTAAAAATTATGTCTGTGTGTTACAATAAAGAATGTAGTAAGATTAGCCGGGTGGTGGTGGTGCACGCCTTTAATCCCAGCACTCGGGAGGCAGAGGCAGGCGGATCTTTGTAAATTTGAGGCCAGCCTGGTCTACAAGAGTTAGTTCCAGGACAGACTCCAAAGCTACAGAGGAACCCTGTCTCGAAACCACCCCTCCCACCCCAAAAAACAACATAGGATTGTAGTTTCCTGTATGAGAATTTAAATTCAGGGCGTTGTACATTCTAGGTAAGTACTCTGTCACATAGTCTCAGTCCAAGAATTTGGATTTTGCTTTGATCTTTTGAGATAGCATCTTAACTAGCCTAAGATGTCCTTGAACTCAACTTTGTACCTGATGGTATCCTTGAACTCTTTTTTTTTTTTGCAGTAGTTATTTTATTTTATTTTTTTTTTATTTTTTATTTTTTTTGAACATAGTGGACAATGAGGAATACTGAGAACTCAAGAACAATCACAGTGGATTTTTGATCCTACTGCACGTACTGGCTTTGGGGGAGCCTAGGCAGTTTGGATGCTCACCTAACTAGACCTGGAAGGAGGTGGGCGGTCCTTGGGCTTCCCACAGGTCAAGGAACCCTGATTGCTCTTTGAGCAGATGAGGGAGGGGGACTTGATCGGGGGAGGGGGAGGGAAATGGGAAGCGGTTGAGGGGAGGAGGCAGAAATCCTTAATAAATAAATAAATTAAAAAAAAAAATCCTTGAACTCTTGACCATTCTGCCCCAACCTCTAAGTGTGGAGAATGTGCTCTCACACCTAGCAATGTGAACTTTAGACTTAAGCAGTCCTGACTTTGGATGAGGACTTCTTTAGTGGCAGACATTCTGAACAGTGTTCGAGAGAAAGTCCCACTAACAGAGGGACTTTGCTAAATTCAACTTTAGAGTAGACAGTAAAGCACTGGGCTTTTGATTTTCTTCTGTACTAAAGATCAAACCCAGAACTGCAAGACTGCTGGGAAATCGCTACTACTGAGCTACGCTGTTCCAGCCCTACAGACACAAACTGTCCAGAAAACATCTGGTTAAGGGATTCATACACTTAGTACTAGTAGAGCCCATTCTTGAGTTCCGAAGAAGACAGGTGCCCTTTTTAGTGTGTCAGGCTGTGTAATAAGTAAGCATTTGATTCTAAGCAGTCTTAAACTTAAAGAGACAGACAGATGTGAAGAAGGTTGGATGGCCACTTATTCCATTACTCTCTTTGACCTTGCTTTAACAGGTTTTAATGATTAAATTTTATTGACTTTTCCTTAGGTCTGATGAATGGGTTCTGAAAGGAATTTCAGGCTATATTTATGGACTCTGGATGAAAAAAACTTTCGGTGTTAACGAATATCGCCATTGGATTAAAGAGGTAAACAGGAGCTAGATTTGTTTTCTACTTGTAAGTCAGTAATGTATGTCAGTGTTTTCCTGATTTCCTAGTCTCCTGTCCTTTATTTTCTATTTATTTATTTTGTGTGTTGGGCACATGTGTGGTCAGAAGATATTTACTAGAATTGTTTCTCTCCTTCTGCTGTGAGTCCTGGGCTCAAGCTCAGGTGCTCAGGCTTTTTGCAAACTCTTTTACCCACTGGGCCTTCTTGCCAGCCCTCTTGTCCTCCAGTGATTGTGAAATGCTTCTAAATGTCATTTGAAAAATAGTGCTTTTCAAATAAAATTAAATTACCAAAAAAAGATTATAGCTGCTTCCTACATTTGTTTCCAAGTCCTAACTGAGCAAGGATGGTATAGTGGCAGTGCCTGCTCCACTCGGGGTAGAGGCTCATGACTCCTGCAGTGTGCGTGGTGCAGTCTTCAGTACCCACCTTCACATGCTCTGTCATCACCACATAGCTTCCTGGTATTTAAAGATGAAGGAAAAATGAAAAGAGTATTTATATATCTTTTCTTAAGTACATAGATACTTCATTGGTTTCATTAGATTTGATTAGATCCTTAAATTCATTATTTTTAGGTAGAAAAATCCCCATTTTAATATCCTCATTAATTAATTAATTAATATCCTCTTTAAATTAACGTTCTATTAAAAAACTTGTTGGAGGGATGACACACTTAGCACTGGGAGCCCCATTCTTCATGTGGAAGGAATAACATCACTTAACAGTGCATAATAAGATAGTATTATAATAAAAATAGTACTTGGATAAAAAGTCTATCTTAATTCTCTTACTCTCCACACTTTACGTATGAGGAAACTAAGACACATAGAGGTTAAATTATTTAGTAAAGTGCATGGCTAATCAGCTGTATTGCCAGGATCCAGTTGGCTTCTAATCATCTTATGATGCCGTTTACCACTTCTCTGCTGTCTTATATTATTTAAACCATTCACGAATATCCAGCATAGTTATGATGTTGTCTTTTTCAAGCTTTTTTTTTCTTATTTTTTTTAAAATGGGTATTATATGTTAGAAAAGAACAGAGGAGTTTTAAATTGATAGATTACCAACATTATTCAGTCTCACTTCTTAACTGCTTTAGTCCTCAGATTCAAAATACTGAGAGGGACTAAGTCAGTTTAGAAGACAATTCAGAGGAGCAGAAGAGCTGTAAGGAAAAGTTGCTGACCTGCTGTTGAGCCCTGAAGTCACAAAATACAGAGAAATTTTTGGATCTTACTATCCAGCTAGCTTGAGTAGCTTGCTCTATTTATAAAAACAAGAAGTAGTCTCTAGCTATAGTTTGCTTCTGTTACATTTACATCTGATTCCACAAAAGGAAATTTGTGGTCTAGTACTAAAGGTTGTTGTGTGGAGAAGTTTTCACTGACTCTTAATTTTTATCTTTTTTAGGAGCTGGATAAAATAGTGGCATATGAACTGAAAACTGGAGGAGTTTTATTACATCCCATATTTGGTGGTGGGAAAGAAAAGGATAAGTATGTTTTTGTTCTGAGATGATATTATGAACCTTGTTTCGTAGGCTGCCTCTTACGATCACTTGTGTGTTTCTTGAGGCCTAGGAAGGCCAGAACCATAATGATGGTGTGATACCACAGACTGGTCGTGTGGTCATGGCCCCCTCTTTATTGTTGTGTCCTATGAGATGACTGCAAGTGAATTCAACATGCTAGCGTTTCTAATTCAACTTCATCATACTACTCTTGTTGAAACTTAAAATCTGTGAAAATAGTTATTTTGCTTAATTTGATGGTTAATCTTAATTGTCAACCTGATTCAGTTGAGAAATGCCCAGAAGATTGTTAGTAAAGCACACTTCTAAGTGTGTGTGAGGCTGTTTCCAGGGAGGATTAAGCAGACAAAAAGCTACTTTAATGTGGGTGCACTATCCTGTAGCCTTAGGAGGTCCATACCCAGATGAAATGAAAGGGACAGTGGATGAACCCTGCAAGCCTTTTCTCTCTGCTTCCTAGCTTCCAAGAGACAGTAGCTGTGCTCCATCATGTCCTTCCCACCAAGTGTATTAAATCTGTGCTGCAGTAAATCCTTTTACTTTTCAGCCGTTTTGTTCAGGTTTTTGTTACAGACAAGTTTATTAGCACAGGAAGTTTGTACTCTCTCTAAACTAACTGTGGTTCTTAAGCCTTTGTAGCTGAGTTTTGAAAGGAAATTTGGAACAGTTTGGAGGCATGGGTTTTGGTATCCCTAAGACTGCTTTCTGTTTAGTAGACAATTCTGTTTGGAGCTCAGAAGACCAAATGCCAAGAGAAATATGGACAGTAAAGGCCAATGTGAGAACTTTATGCTAGGACTAAGAACTCTATGAGGAGCTGGGCTAGAGGCCATGTATGCCAAATGACAGCAAAGAACAGGTCAATGTTTGTGAACCCTGAGATTTCAAGGTCGCTTTTGTGTAGATTTTGTTGGCTGCTTTTCGACAGATTTACTGTGAAAATTGTGAGCAGGAAACTTTGTTTGCCCAGAAAGGAAACACATAAACCCAGGGCCATGGGAGCTGACAGCTGAAAAGATTAAGATGATTAGAAGAAGCAAAGTAGTTTGCACTGGAACAATAGACAAGGCCCCTTGAGGCCGTCTCAGGAACTGCCTAAACTTCACTTGTCATGGTGTAAGGAAAAAGATGAGAAGAAAGCTCTGCCTGAGCTCCCTGAATGTCTGGCTTTCCAGGGACGTGATTTCCTGAGTTCAGCCATAGGGTTACTGACAGGCTGAACAGGTGACATCCAGGAAGGTCTGACTGCTGGTTGAGCAGGTAGCAGACCTTGATATCAGCTGGGTGATGGCTTTGTGGTACATGGAACACAAGTTACGAGGTTATAGAGGCCTGAACCCAGATTTCAGTGGAAGACCTGGGAGGCTGAGGTCAGGATCACTTGGGTAGCCTCTGAGATGGCAGTGCATAGAGATAGGAGAATGAAGCCAGAGATGGAGCCAATACTCCAGGAAGCTGGAGTTGTGAGAACCTGCAAGGAACAGCTTCAAGCAGCTAAAACAGCCCAGATGGAGGCCATGTGCTATCAAAGTGAGGCAGCAAGTGCCAGGGAGCAGCAGAACCTTGGGATCCGAACCTGGATCCTACAATAAGTCCTAGATGCTGGACGCGGAACTCTAGTGTCTTAAGCTTTGCCCTGCTGTGCTCTGGTTTACTTTGGTCCTGTCCTTCTGTTCTCCTGAGCCTCTGCGAAGGAATAAGAATGTTTGTTCAGCCATTGTATCCTAAGGGTGTTGACACAGAAACACATCTCTGACCTCAAAAGGGAATAAAAGAGATAGTTTATTCCAGAGCTAGGTAAGGATGAGCATGGATGGACACAAGTGGATGCAGGTTTCCCCGAACCCCAAATTCCTGTGTGGCAGCAGTTTTGTTAACAGAGCAAAGAAAGTCATAAATCCACATACTTCTCAAATATATTGTTGGAACTCAGTGTCAGACCCAAGGATTCTCAAAAGCATTACCAGCTGAGCTGCTCTACAGCCTTGCCCTTGGATTTTTCTTTTTTAAAAGTTATTATTTCAATTTATGTATATGAGTGAAGTTTTTTGGAGGGAACACCACACAGACATTGATTGTGAGATATAATTTGACACATCTTTGAAAGGTAATTAGTTAGAGCCCATCAGTTTCAGAGTGGGTTGTGTTAAGATGATAGCAATTCTGCTCTGTGTATAGGATCATAAAAAATTCTGCTTGTAGATATTTGCTGTGAAAAAGTATTTGCATAAAAATTTACTGTAACATTTTAGAATAATGGAAAATTTTGAACAGCTTAAATTGTTTATGTTAAATGTAAACTTATTTGTTTTCTTTAGTACTCAGATTTGTTATATTGAGTAAATTTATGTTTTTTTCCAGCCCATCTTCCCACCTTCATTTTTCAATAAAGCATCCACATACCCTGTCCTGGGAATACTACACCATGTTTCAGTGCAAAGCCCACCTCGTGATGAGACTGATTGAAAACAGAATCAGCATGGAGTTTATGCTCCAAGTAAGTCCTAACATTAAAGCAGTATCTGTGTGTGTGCATCTGTTAGTTACTGTTCTATTGCTGAGATAAAACACCATGACTAAGACAACTTACTTATTTATTTATTACTTCTATTTTGAGATAGGGTTTCTCTGTGTAGTCCTGGCCGTTCTTGAACTCAGAGATCCACCTGCCTTTGCCTTCCAAGTGCTGGGATTAAAGGCATGTGTGCCGCCACCTGGTGACCAAGGCAACTTATTAAAAAAGCATTTGAGATTAAAGTTCCAGGGAATTAGAGTCTGTGGCGCTGGAGTGAAGACAAGGGGACAAGCAACTGGAACAGTAGTGAAGACTCATGTATTCATCTAAAAACAGGAGGCAGAGAGCACACTGAGAACGGAGACTTTGAACCCTTAAAGCCTGCTCACATGACACACCTCCTCCAGAAACGCCAAACTTCCTAGTCTTCAGACAGCTACCAACTAGTGACCAAGTATTCAGGTGCCTGAGACGCGTGGAGGACATTTCATTTAAATCACCACATTCTTCTCCTTGTCTCTCATAGTTTTGTGGCCATATCATCATGCAAAGTACATCTAGTCCAACTTCAGAAGTCCCCACAGTCTCTCATAGTCAAGACACTGTTTTAAAGTCCAGATTTCTTCAGAGACTCCAGACACTCTCTCCATTATAATTCTCTGTAAAATCAAGAGCAAACTACACTGGACAGTGGTGACACATGCCTTTAATCCCAGCATTTGAGGGGCAGAGGCAGGGGGATCTCTGAGGCAAACCTGGCCAAAGAACAAATTTCCAGGACAGCCACAGCTACACAGAGAAACCCTGTCACATAGAATTGCATAATTCTAACAGATAATGGTATGTAATAGACATTCCCATTCCACAAAGGAGGAATGTAAGGGGTTTAGGTGGCTCCACCCTTCCTGCTTTGCTGCCTGCAGCACACTTCTGTACCTGTTTGTAGCTCTCCTTGGCAGATATCCATGGCTCTAGCATCTACAAATTTTTGAGGTCTCAAGCACAACTCAGGTTTCACATTTTTAGCTTCATGCAGTGGCCTCTGAAGGCCACATACCTAACCTTAGGTATTCTCCTTACCACCAGAGAAAAATTCCACAACTAGTTACTTTGTTGGTATCATTAGGTTTTGCCATGTTTTAAAGTTTTAGTACAAGTGGTTACAATATAGGAGATGAAATAGTAGAGACAAGATAGCGGATCACTTGTGTAAATATATGTGCTTTTGGTTTTTCCTCCTTTTCTCTCATTCCCCATTCCATTCTTTTTTCTTTTTCTTTAATTTTCTTTTTTTCTGTGAAATACTGAGGATCAAATACATGGTTTTGCACATACTAGGCCAATAGGTCCCACTGAGGTACATTCTCAAAACAGGTAGATGCATTAAATAATAACAGCTAACTTTCCCCGATTGATAAAATTCTTAAAGGCAGGCTTAAAAGAAAAACTTTTAAAAAATCATTTTTGCTGAGAATGTAGTACAGTGGAGTGCCTGCTTCATGTGAATGGAGCCCTGGGTTTAACTCCCGGTATCATAAAAATGGAAACATACATTTTCTCTAAAGGTTGAAGAAAAGTGTGCCATAAAAAAGGACATTTATTCTTTTTAGAATTAGATATTAATTAGTATTCTCATTTATGAATTTCCTTTGTACTGTGATACCCTCACATGTGCTAGGAAAATGCCATCCCACTGAGCCATAGCTCCACTCCTCTTCCACATTTCTTTTTTTTTAATTTAAGTTAATTATTTTACTTACTTACTTATTTATTTATTTATTATGTTCCTCAAAACAGGGTTTCTCTGTGAAACATTCCTGGCTGTCCTGGAACTCACTCTGTAGATCAGGCTGGCCTCGAACTCACAGACACCCACCTGCCTCTGCCTCTTGAGTACTATGATTAAAGGTATGTGCCACCACTGCCTGGCTATATTCTGTTTTTTAAAACAGAATAACACACAAGATGATTTATGACATGCCTAACATAAGAGTACTAGGCTCCTAATGAATATTCCTAGTTTTGAATTCCTTTTTTTTTTTTTTTGCTTTTTCGAGACAGGGTTTCTCTGTGGTTTTGGAGCCTGTCCTGGACCTAGCTCTTGTAGACCAGGGTGGTCTCGAACTCACAGAGATCCCAAGTGCAGGGATTAAAGGCGTGCGCCACCACTGCCTGGCTTGAATTCCTTTATAAAATTTGACAGGTATTATATATTGTGCTTCTAATTCTTGATAAATTACATTTTGTGTGCAAATTTTTAGCATTCAGTAATGTTTCTATGAACAGTATTATGTCCTGTTTAAATATTTGTATGTTTCTTTTGCTTTTAGTATTTAACTCAAAAAAAAAATATGCATGTTACATAATTGCTTTCTTCTGTAAATGATCCCACAAAGATCCAGTGCAGACTAGGTACAGTATCCAGTTGGAAACTGGACTATGTGGCCTTCTGTCCTTGCAGGTTTTCAATAAACTACTAAGTCTGGCTAGCACTGCTTCGTCTCAGAAGTTCCAGTCACACATGTGGAGCCAGATGCTGGTTTCCACCTATGGATTTTTGAAATCAATTTCCAACGTCTCTGGCAAAGACATCCAGCCCTTAATAAAACAGTGGGTGTATCCTTTTTAGTAGGGGCTCAGCAAAGCAGGGAAGGGAATACGCTGTGTGAAAGATGGAAAAGAGGGAGGTGATCCATTGCTATTTAAAATTAGAAATCACTGGCCTACGACTCGGATCTTCTAAAGTTCCTTCCAAAACTGAGTTGGATTCATATATATAAACATGGATGTTTATATTTATAAAATTTGGCTTAGTTTGTGCTATTCCATATGAATGGAGAGGTAGGTTGCATGGTGATTCGGTAAATACTCTAGCAGGCAGCCTATAGCAGTACTTGTAAGATGAAATGGTCTGGCGACTTTTACATGTGCTTGGAGCTTGGCTCAACTTGAATGGTATCTTGGAACTTGACAGTTTTTGCAATTTTCTCTTCAAGGTGCTATTAATAATTCAGTGGAGTGACATTACTTTAAAAACACGGGTTTGTCAATGTTTCAGAGATTTTATTTAATCTGGGAAACATTTTTCACAAGAATTTTGAATAGTTTGCCACCTGGGATATAATGAAGTGTACTTTGATCTAGTAGGAATGCGTTTGAAAATTGTTAATATAATAAGCTTTTTTAAAAAAAGAACATTTTCATTTTAGTATGTAAAAATTCCTTTACAATTCTTCAGAGACCAGAGTGGAGTAGTAAAATTTTACGGAAGTTTTGCATTTAATAGAAAGCGAAACGTTTTAGAACTAGAAATAAAACAAGATTACACATCTCCTGGAACTCAGAAGTACGTGGTAAGTGTTTTCCTAGAAGAGTGTGGTGCCCATTGATTGCGGTTCCAGTAGAGGAAGGGCTTTCAGGCTGGGGTGAATGATGAGTTTGCAGTGAGTCCTTGAAGGGAAGAGGCTGCAGAGATTTCAGAGCATGCTCCTCAGCTTCCCGTCCTTGGCACCAACTGCTGTCCCTCTCCATCACTATGTACTTCATAGAGCAGAATTTTATATCGTGAATGGCTTGCCTTTAAATGTAAGGATGTGCATTGGCCATTTTCTAGCAGTTTTAATTGTAGCACGAATAATAAAAACCCTGAGACAGATATTGGGGTTCAACCCGAAAACCAGAAAAGCAAAACAGCCGGCCACTGGTGAAGTCTTACCTCTACCAAGGCTGGGCGACCGCAACTAAGCAGACTGTCTTTCTCCCATTTTATATTCCCTTTGGTGCTGGCATTAAAGGTGAGTCTCTAACTACCATCTGGATTTGTTTCTGCATTGATCTGATCTTGTGTAGCCCTGGGTGGCCTTGAACTCACAGAGATCCACCTGCCTCTGTCTTCCAAATCCAGAGATTGAAGCTGTGTGCCACCACTACCTGACTTCTAGTGGCTTAGCTTTACCCTTCTGGCTTTTAGGCAAGCTTTATTTATTAAAACATAAATAAAACATCATTATACTTAATGGTATGTTGTTGCTGTTGTTCTTTTAAAGGGACCACTTAAAGTGACAGTGCAAGAGTTAGATGGATCCTTCAACCATACCTTGCAAATCGAAGAAAACAGTCTCAAGCATGATATACCCTGCCACTCTAAAAGCAGAAGGTAGGTAGTGAGTCAGACCTATAAGCTGGAGATGAAACTGAAAATCCCCCATGTGAAAGTGCCTGACTAAAATTCTAGTTGTACAGCACCTGTTTACAGGAAGAGCGTCTTACCTGCTAGCTGTGGTCCCTCATGTTAGCATTACCACACATACTTTGTTTGCATCTGATTTTGGTGCTTTTGAGACAGGAGCTCATGTAGTCCTACTGGCCTTTGTCTTATTTCTACCTCCCAAATATTAGAATCGCAGGCATGCACCCTACACACCCAGCTCTTGCTTTCTGTTGTGGAAACATTTCTATCTTTGGAATGATTTTTTTAATATATATATTTATTTTATTTTTAGGACATAGTATCACTCTATAGTTCAGACTGGCCTAGAACTCACTAGGTACACTATACTAATGCAATTCTTGTTCCTCGGCTGCCCAAGTGCTGGCATTATAGACTTCTGCTATCACGTCTGGCCTTAAATAAATTTTTTATTTGCTTTTTTTGTTGTTGTTCATGGGGGGCGGGGCGGGGGTCTTATGTATTCCAGACTGATTTGCTTTCAACACCCACTTTCTCCAACTTCGAGGTAGATTTTCTGGTTTTTATACTTCGTTTCGTAGTATATTTACTCTTGTTTGACATATCTTTTAGCGATTCATAAAGTCCTTTATTTGAACTTTGGCTGCTCGATAGCTCCATTCTGATTTGGAAATTCCACGGTTTTCAATTGTTCTTTTCCTTAAATATAGGAATAAGAAGAAAAAAATCCCACTGATGAATGGGGAAGAAGTTGACATGGACCTTTCTGCAATGGAGTAAGTTACCTAAAAGTATGTAATTATCTTTGAAAGGCGAGTTTTTAAAACCATTTAAAGTCAAGCAAAACGGTTAGAAAGAAATTCAGTCCCATTAACTCATTGAAGAAAGAACATGCTCAGATAAGAAGCGATGCGGTAGTGTACGCACGGGCACAACCTCACTGCACAGCCTCTGGCCTCTCTTGCTGGTGCTTCCCTACTCAGTGCTCTCAAACCCATGTGCATGTGACTCACTGCAGAGATCTTAAAGTGCCAGTTCCTACTCAGTATGTTCCTTGTGGGCCGAGGTTTAGATTTCCAGTGAGCCCAGGGTGATACTGACTGTTTGGGGCAGTGCTCCAGAGCATGGAGAGCCGCCTCTGTGCTTGCAAGCTGTGCGAGTACCACTCTTCTACATTTAAGTTTACTGTTAGTCTGTGGTAGCCCCGGTGGTTCTTACTGAGCCTGGCCTTTTTGTTTATGTTTTAACTTTATTTTACATGTACAAGTGTGTTGTGCTTAAATGTATGTCTATGGATGACATGCATGTCTGGTGCCTGTGGAAGTCAAAAGAGGGTGCCAGATCCCCTGGAACTGGAGTTGTAGACAGCCGCGAGCTACTGTGTGGGGACTGGGACTTGAACTTGGGTCTTTTGTAAAAACAACAAGTATTCTTAACCACCGAGCCATCTCTCCAGTCCCCGGACTTGAATTCTTGATACTCCTATTTCTAACTCCCCACTTGCTAGGATTATAGCTGATTGTGATATTGATTAATATTTCTTAAGTATAATTTTATACTGAGTATGTCATGAGCACCCAGTACTGAACTGAATTAGTATTACAAAGTGGCATTCTTTTATTAAACTATTGACATAGACCTTATTTTTACTTTGCATATTACCTGAGAAATAGATAAGAATAAAGTGATGGGCCTTCAAATTATGATTTCAGAACTTTCTTGAGAAAGATAGTTATGAGCCTAGCTTTGGGGTTTTTTTTTTGGTTTGTTTGTTCATTTTTCAATGCAGTCCTGACTGTCGTGGAACACATTTTGTAGACCAGGTTGGCCTCAAATTCACAGAGATCCGCCCACCTCTGCCTCCTGTGTGCTAGGATTAAAGGCAAGTACCACCACTGTTGGGAGAGCCTAGCATTTTAAAAGATACTAATGTCAACTAAAATTAATTAAATAAAATAAATGCTCCCTTTTTTATTTCTAATAAGGGGTAATGTTTATAGCTATAGTCAGGTATAGGAAGTTAAAGTTTGTATCATTTACATTTTGACATCTTATAATTGCAGATAAAAATTCCCAGAGTAATATTTTCAGCGGAAAATTTGAAATTTGGTATCCTATGTGGCAACTCTTCTTATCTTTAGAGATCTTGTTAGTAAGATTGTGAGAAAGTTAGCTTAACACAGTGAAAAGTTGGTTGAAATTTTAAAATATGAGTATAATAAAACTTTGAGTAGCCTGAGAATACTGTGTCTAGAGGAGAGGCTGAGTCGTGACTGCTTTGTTTTTGCTTCCGTAGGTAAGTTTTAAAGTTGTAAACTTGTGTTTTCTCTAGCGCTGATTCCCCTTTGCTGTGGATAAGAATAGACCCAGATATGTCGGTCCTGAGGAAGGTGGAGTTTGAGCAGGCTGATTTCATGTGGCAGTATGAACTCCGCTACGAGAGAGACGTCGTGGCTCAGCAGGAATCCATCCTGGCTCTGGAAAAGTTCCCCACCCCGGCATCGCGCCTGGCGCTCACCGACATCCTAGAGCAAGAGCAGTGCTTCTACCGAGTCCGAATGGCGGCGTGCTTCTGTCTTGCGAAGGTGGGGTTACACAGGAGACTGCCTCTGACTGTTGTGCACTTTACAGAGGCTCTGAGAATGAACTCAAACTCACCTGAGTCTTTAACTTTTTCTTGGTAACTGTACTTTGGAAAGCTTGTACCAAATGCTTCTAACAGCATTGTTTTAAAAAATTTTTTTTTTTTTATTTTTGGTTTTTTTGAGACAGGGTTTCTCTGTAGACCAGGCTGGCCTTGAACTCACCTGCCTCTGCCTCCTGAATACTGTGATTAAAGGCATGCGCCACCACTGCCTGGCTAAAAAAAAAAAAAAAAAAAAAAATCTTTGATATAAAATAGATATGTACAAAAATGGTATAATTGTTAAACTGAAAACCAAGGAGAATTTTTTCCTTTTTAAATTGCCAACCGTATTTTTAAGAGTAAGAAAAATTTGATGACTGGGACTGGGGAGATGGCTCAGTGGTTAAGAGTATTGGCTGTTTTTCCAGAGGTCCTGAGTTCAATTCCTACATGGTGGCTCACAACCATCTGTAATGAGGTCTGATGCTATCTTCTGGCATGCAATTATACATGCAAGCAGTGCCCCGTATACATAAATCTTAAAAAAAAAATTAAGTTTTGTAACTGAGGCTTAGAGATATGGCTCAGCAGTTAAGGGAACTGGCTGCTCTTCCAGAGTTTCTGAGTTCAATTTCTAGCCACCCCATGGTGTCTAACAACCATCTATAGTGTGATCCAGTGTTGTCTTCAGGCATGCTGACATACATGCGGACAGAGCATTCATAACCATAAATAAATAAATCTTAAAAAAAAATAGAAAAGAGAGTCTGTGATTGTAGTGACTTATGTTTTCACATGAGAGTACATAAAACCGGCACATTTTATTGTTCTGTTGTGGTAGTTTTTATTTTGGTTTAGGAATTTAAATTAGTGGTAAATAATCTATAATAACTGTCTATGATTTAACATTCTCAAAAAGTTAATCTATCAATGAACAGTCTTTAAAAATAAAATCTGAACCCAGAAGAATACAGACAGAAAGCTGAGCGGTGCTGTCTATTAACTGCTTAACACATCCGTGGACAGTCTTGCTCCATCTCACTGACTCTCAGATGTTCGAGAGAAAATGGGATTATTTGCTAGGAATATATTTCATTGGTGCTCTGAAGAGTTGTGATTTTTGTTAAATTCTGAGCAGAGCCATAAAACTATAGGATAAAATATTTAATCATAATTTCTTTTATTTCAGATACTTTTTATAGGCCCTAAAATTTCAATAGGAAGAGTTTTTTGTGTTTTTTGTTTTCTTGAACTCACAGAGGTCTGCCTGCCTCTGCCTCCTGAGTGCTGGTATTAAAGGTGTGCACCACTGTCCTGCACTTTAATAGTTAAGGGAAGGAAATGGCTTTAAAGTTTTAAATTTTGAACTTTTCTGAAAGCCCTTTTCTCGGGGTCTCCTATATTAATTTGTTTTAATATTTTAATAATATTTAATAATTTATGAATTTGTTGTTTTGCATCAAGTAATCTAGTACTAGCCTTGCTTACTTAAACATAGCATTTGCTTGGTACATGAAGTTCAGTGTTTCTTTTCCTTTATTTTGTCTTTTGTAATCTTGGGATATTTAGATATTTTTTATCTGTGAAGCCTGGGCTTCTTTTCATGTGCCCAGATCAGTTTTAAACAGCTAGAATTGCAGTGGCACTGCTTTCTGGCCAGCTGCTACAGCATGGCGGGCTTGCAGAACTCTTGTGGCCTCATCAGCTTCGGAGTGAGAGACACTGGACACTCAAGCCTGTGTACTAGTTCTGAGTTAGTGGTCGCCAACAGAGTGCCAGGGATTTTCACCAGCAAGAGTAGGGTGCATGGCTTGAGTAAGAGAAAACAGCCATTCATTCAACATTAGCTTCTGCTCTTGGGTAGGGGACAGATACCAACATGGGAGCACTTAAAGGCCTTGTACATGAACTAGGGGTAGGAGAATGTCCCCTAGACTGGCCTGGAACTTATATTCATCAGTATTCATCTTCAAATAAATAATGCATCATATTTAGCTTCATTTTACCTTGAGTAGACTGAAAAACATTTAAAACTCACAGTAATATTTTTATCTTATGAGCTTAAAACAACAGAATTACATCTACCTAAGTGGATAGGGACAAACCAGTCAGAGAAGCCTTTGCAAGTATGCATTCCTTAAACACAAGAGGATGCTGGCATTTAGACATTAACTTGTGCACAGGGGCTGTAAGTGCACATAGGAGTGGGGCTTTTGGTTTATCTTGGGTTGGTTTGTTTGTTTGCTTGGGTTTTTTGGTGGGGGAGTTTGTGTATTTTCCTGGGAACAGGTAATAAAAGACCAACTTCTATTAATTTCCAAGAACTGTAGTGTTGGCTTTTAGAAAGCCATTTTGTCTTCAAAGTGTATTTATAATGGTGATGGAAGCACTGCATCCTCTGACTCTTTACAGATTGCAAACTCAATGGTGAGCACATGGACAGGACCACCAGCCATGAAGTCTCTCTTTACTCGAATGTTTTGTTGTAAAACTTGTCCAAACATCGTGAAAACAAACAACTTCATGAGTTTTCAGAGTTATTTTCTACAGAAGGTACTCCTTGCTTCTCTTTGTTCCTAGTGCTGTTTTTATAATAAGCGAATTGTAGTGATGCTCACCTAGTATGATTTTTTGATCCACAAACTCTTGTATATGTATTTAACTTGGAGATTATTCATATGATAGGTGTGTATTTCTTACAAGTCTACCTCTGCTCTGAAGTTTCCTAAAATTTTAAGTGGTTGCTAATTTTTTTCAACTTTATACAAATCATATCTACATCACTTGTAACATGAAGAGAAATGAATGCCCTTTGGTTGGTAACCTGTGGAGCTGAGGTATGGAGTATGTGCACACCTGATAGATGGCCTCCTAGAATGGGGACAGTACATTCTGAATCAGAAGCAGCCCAGCTCAGAGTACCAAGGCTTTGCTTGCTTGCTTGGAGACAGGTGTCATGTTGCCTTGGCCGCCTACAAGGTGCTGCACAGCGAGGGCAGTGCTAGCCACAGCTCTGCTAGATGCCACTTTCATTTTTTTAGAATTAAGAAATTAGACTAAGTGTACAGAGCGTGTTTAATGTTAAACTTGCAGGAAGTCAGAGGGAGAGTGGAAGCGTGGGAAGGTGACTAGTTGTTGAGTGGTTTGGAAATCATTTAAACAGTTAGTCCGAAGAATGGAGACTAAGGTTAGATTAACTAACTCAAACTGGTAATGGTGTGGAGTTAAAGAAGAGAAAAGAAATGAAAGTGATGTCTCGATCTTAGTTGAAGAGGTGGGCAACTGCTGAGGACAAAGCAGAGAAAAGAATCACTGGGATTTGTTTTGCTCCACGTGGAAGATTAGGAACCTCCAGGTGTATTTGATGTAACGGAAGCCAGAGGATAAAGTTAATATAAAACACAGGCCAGGCTTTGAACAGAAGGGAGGACATAAGAGGTAAATGGAAGAAAAGGTATGAACACAATTTTTTTCCTCAAGCCTTTAGAAAGGAAATTTTCTTTGAAGTGAAACTGTTTCTGTAGCTCAGACAATTGTGGAAGCAATAAAAGAGCCCAGAGATTGTTGTGGGACACTTTTAGGGCAGGGCGGGGGCAGGGCTGTTACATTCTTGACCTTTTAGCATCGGAGATTATCAGCACAAGACCTTCTCAAGATGGCACCTTCAAGGTTCTGTCAAAGGAGGGGGACTCAGTAGACCCCCACCCGCCCTTAGGGTATCAAGGCTGCTGACGATCGAGAGTGGGAAAGTTGCTTTCTTCAGTGGTGTAGCAACTGGAAAGGCGCCATGTTCCCATAAGCGACCCTAATTAAACTCAGTGGGCCACCCAGAAATAAAGTAGTAAAGAAAGAAAAACAGACAAGATACTGGAGGGGCAGTCCTGACTGGAGAGAGAAGTAGGATTAGCAGGAGCTGGTGGTGGGGCTCTGGTTAGAGGGGTAAAAACATGAAAGAAAAGTAATATGGAGGTTAGAGATTTTGTTTGCTTATTTTGGAGGGGTGTTCAGGAGGCAGGATTTATCTGTGTATCCCTAGGCTGACTTTAAACTCATGGAGATCTGCCTGCCTCTGTCTCCACAGTGCTGGAATTAAAGGCATGCACAACCACTACTGGTCTGGCTTTTTTTCTAATAAAAGATTGACTGGACAGGATAAGGACATATGTGTGTCATAAAGATAATTATAAGGCCTTTTTTTTTTTTTTTTTTTTGAGACAGGGTTTCTCTCTGTAGCTTTGCTGGCCTTGAACTCGCAGAGATTTGCCTGCCCTGCCTCCCGAGTGCTGAGATTAAAAGTGTTTAGGTTGCAGTGTAAAGTTTATTTCTTATTGTGGGTTGAAGTAGGAAACTTGGAAAGATAATGCGTTTTAATGTAACTCTTGTAGTTGGCAGAAGAAAAGAGTGCCTAACTCAAACACTTATATTTCCCTTGTTAAGGTACAGAGTAGGCAGAGAACAGATTTTCCTGTATGCAAAAGGAACTTTCCCTGCGTTAGTACCTGTTCTCATTGCTGTGACAAAGGCAGCCCAAGGAAGGCCCGGTTTGTTGTGGCGCACAGTTGGAGAGTTGTCCGTCTGGCAAGAGAAACATGAGACAGCCTGCCACGGCTGGTCACAGTGCACCTACAGTCAGGAAGCATTGAAATATCAACGCTGGTTCTTAGCTTACTTTCTCCTTATTTGTTCTGGAATCCCAGTCTGTGGAATAGTGCCACCACAAGATGGATCTTCCTACCTTCCAGCTAAAGCTCTGGAAATGCCCTCAGACACGTGTGTCTCCTAGGTGACTCTAGATCAGTCACACTGGTGGTGAAGATTAACTGTCACACTACAGTTGATTCTATTTATTACCTCTGTATCTTCCCCCTTTTTACTTGAGACAGGTTTTCTTGCTCTGTAGCTCAGGCTGGCCTGGAATTCCTAATCTTCCTTCCTCTACCTCCAGTGTGCTGGCATTAACAAGAATGTACCACCATTCTTGTTGCTGCTCTTTTAAACGAGAAAATGAGTCATTTATTTTTTATTGTCCAGTTTACAAGGGAAAGTCTTTATCTCTTCCATGGTCTAAGGAGGACCAAGATTTCTGTGCATCTACTCTTCTATCTAGGGTTTAAATAGCTTTATTTCACCAGCAGAACTTGCTATTTTGTGTCTCATGTTTCCACTAACAGAAAGTTGCTTATAAAATTTTAGAAAGAAGAAAGGTTTGCTGAATTTTAGGTTACTATCTGCCCTTAGTTCAAGGGCTGCTAAGCTGCAGTTTGTTTAATCCCTCTTGCCTATGTGTCATTGAGCCTTAAAAATGATCACGAGGAAGCAACTAGCCAAAGATATGCAGAGTAGTGGATAGTGAAGATGGCAGTTAGAATAAACCAGTGCTAAAATTGTATACCCATTCCACTGTATCACTTAGAAATGGATTAAGACCATTTATATTATATATACTTCCTTCCAGCAAGTGAGGGCTAAGGCACATAGCCTGTAGAATATGTCCAGTCATGAAAATAATCCCTGGATTTCTTACTCATTTCAGCAGTGATGCTTTTAGATGGGTGTGTAGTGGGAGATGGGGTATTAGGCTCCATCTGGATATCTGTTTTATTCCCAGAGTAATGCTCTTCATAGCCCGAATTGCCATAGTAATGAAGTTGAGTTGTGTGCGTAAAACTCATTTTTCTTTCTTTTTTTTTTTTGTAGACTATGCCAGTTGCCATGGCTTTGTTAAGAGATGTACATAATCTTTGTCCCAAAGAAGTTTTAACATTTATTTTAGACTTAATCAAGTACAATGACAACAGAAAAAATAAGGTATGGCATTTTCCTCAATGACTAGTGATACTTGTTTTAGGGTGTTATGTGGGTGCCTTCGTCTCCAGAACTGCAATAAAAGGAAGGAAGAATACTTGTTTGTAGAGTCATTTGTGAGTCATTTATTGTGTGTGCATGCATGTGTGTATATGTTTATGTGTGTGTTTCTTTGTCTTTTCTTTTTTTAAAGTGTGTATGTATACATATGTTCAGCTTGTCTGTGTATGCACTGTGTGCAGGAGCTCATAGAGGCCAGAAGAGGGTAACAGAGCCCCTGGACCTGGAGTTAGAGGGAGTTGTGAGCCTCCACGTAAGTGCTGGGAACCAAATCGCAGTCCTCTGTTAGAGCAGTAAGTGCTCTTAAACACTGAGCTAAGTAAGCCACCTCTCCAGACCCCTGAGTGCATCCGCCTGTTCCTTTTGTTGATAATTTTCTCAGTTATATGGTGATCTTTACATGTGGTATGCTTATACTTTAAGGTGGAATGCTAGGTGATTGGAAGGTCATATTGGTAACAGGACTTGTAGACTAATGCTTTATTCATTTGTAGGTGTGTCTGTTGGTGGTGTGCACATGGGTCTGTGTGTGTAAGAACGTTTGTGTGTGGGGTTGCATGTTTCTGTGTGTGCCCCTGCAGCCAAACACTGGGATTCATCTCAGGTGACTTCTCGATTGCTGTCTCTCCCTGGGATCCAGAGCTTGTCAGTTTGGCTAATTGAGCTGGTCAGCTTGCTTTAGGGATTCTGCTCTACCTCCTGAGTGCAGGGCTTTCAGGTGGGTTCCCATCCTGCCTGGGTTTATGTAGATACTGGGGACTTGAACTCTAGTCCTCATACTTGATAAAGGAATTGGGAGGATGCAACCAAGTTTTCATGTTAGCAAAGTATGAGCTCCTTATCCACTGAACCATCTTACCAGATGCTAGTAGACCACCAATCTTTGTTTTTCTCTTTTGGACAATCTGTGGTCTGGTTAGGAGATTGTAGGAGGAGCTTAGACATAGTGTTTAATATACTAATAGTTCACTGATGAGTGTAGCATTTTCCCTTTTTTTCCAAATCACAAGTCTATACAAAGGATAGGTTGGTATTTACTAGAAAACTTGGTGATAGATGCATTATGTTTTCACTGTGTGTGTGTTGCTGGTGATGAAGTCAGGGCTTTGTGCATATAAGAGATGTGCTCTGCTTACTTCTGACCTGACACGACTTAAAGTTATATGTGTTGTTTTAATATCTCATGAAAAGGCTTAATTGTATTTGTTCTTAATTATTCTTTGGCTTAGTTTTCAGATAACTATTATCGTGCAGAAATGATTGATGCTCTGGCTAATTCTGTTACACCTGCTGTCAGTGTGAATAATGAAGTTAGAACTTTGGATAACTTAAATCCTGATGTTCGGCTAATTCTTGAGGAAATAACTCGATTTCTGAACATGGAAAAACTTCTCCCAAGTTACAGACACACTATCACCGTCAGGTGCTGTTCTTTGCTGCTTCTTTAAATGTGTCTTATATTTCCACAACTATACCATTATTCCTATTCTATTAAATTGGGGAAAGTAAAAGTAAGAAATTTTTAAATTTAAATTTTTTGTTGTTGTCATCTCCAGATAAATTGATAATATTTGGAAAGTAGCCTTTAAAGTTTTAATCTTTGTAATTTAGTTTTAAATTTATCTAATATAATCTCCATTATTTGTATTCTCTAATTTTCTAAAGTATATGTTCTTTTGTCCTTTTGTGCATATGCACATATACACACATGCAAGCACATGGTTTGTGGGGCACTCGTGCTATGATGCTTTTGTCATGGTCAGAGAGCATCTTTGTGGATTTGATTTTCTCTTTCCACCTTTACGTGGACTAGGGATGGAACTCAGGTTCCCACGCTTACACATGTCAAGTGCCTTCACCTGCTGAGCTGTCTGACCAACCCTAGAAATTCGTCATAAGAAATTATTTTCTTGGGGTCATGTTTTACAATAGTCACTGTTGTGTAAAGAGCCCCACTTGGGTCTTTGAGACAGGTCTCGTGCAGCCCAGCCTATTTAGCCACGGATTACCTTGGTGACTCCTGATCCTCCTGCCTTCACCTTTCAGTGCTGGTGTGCGACCAGACCTAGCTCGTCAGCCTTCTTTTCAGAACTGTGGGTCTCTGTATGCTTTCGTTTGAGTTTGCTAAAAGTTGATTACTGATTATAAAAAAAAAGTTAGCTCCCTTATTTTATTTCAGTTATTTATTTTTTTTGAGATCTCACTATGCCTGTCAGACTGACCTGTAGACCACCAGGCTGGCCTTGAACTCAGAGATTTGCTTGCCTCTGACCCACACCAATCTTACCCCCGACCCCCACTTGAGCAAATGCTGGGACCAAAGTGTGTGCACAACACCCAGCTAGCTTTCCATTTTTATAGTGAATAAATAATAGATTTCTGAAGAACATACTCTATTTAAAATTATTATATTTTTATTGCTAAGTACTTTTTTTCTGAAGTGTGCTTTGTTGACATATGTGTGGATCTAAGATTCCAAACATGTTGAAATTAGTTTTTATGGTATTTAAGTATTAATATTAAAATTTTATCCAAACATTGAACATTACAGAATTCAATGTGCAATCAAATCCTGAAGTCTTTTGTTTTGTTTTTTTGAGGCAGGTTTTCTCTTTGTAATCATAGTTGTTCTGCAACTCTGTAGACCAGACTGAACTCAAACTCATATCTGCCTTCCTCTGCCTCCTGAGTACTGGGATTAAAGGTGCATACTACCACTGCCAAGCTTAGTATATTTTCAACAACCACTGTCCAGCAAATCATGAGTATTTTTAAAAATTGTTTCTATTTGGTTTTATGTGTGTGAGGGTTTTGCCTGCTCATATGTCTGTGCATGTGGGCATCAGATTTGGTAGCTCACACCTGTAGGTGCTGGCTGGGAATGGAATCCTAGTCCTCTGGAACAGCAGCCAGTGCTCCTAACTACCGAGCCATGTCTGCAGCCCCCGAAATAAAGATTTTTAACTGACTGACAAATGAATCTCTAATACCTAGGTAATAGTAATAAATTTAGTTCATGATACTTCAAAGGTTGTAATTAACTTTTTTCTCACTAGCTGTTTGAGAGCCATAAGGGTGCTTCAGAAGAATGGACATGTGCCAAGTGATTCATCTCTTTTCAAATCCTATGCTGAGTATGGCCATTTTGTGGACATCAGGATAGCAGCTTTGGAAGCTGTTGTTGATTACACTAAAGGTAATGCTATCCAGGTGGTACTTGTTCTGTTACACCCAAAGTTATCACCATGAGACCGAATCTGATGCAAAAGCAGAGTCTCTTTTGAGTTAACTCAGACCTCCCTGTCCATCTGGAGGAGCAGCAGCATTCTTTATAACATAGTGTGGCCACCAGCTTCAGAGTAGGAAGCCAGAAGACAGTAAACCACACAGCTGCGTGAGTTTTAGATTCTCTCCTATAGGTTGCCAGGTTCTCATTTACATTGGGAATTAGACATCCACACAGTTGTTGAGTAACATTCTTTTTTCCCCAAGATTTTATTTTGGGCCAGGAATGGTTGCACATGATTTAGTCCTCACTCTTGGGAGGTAGAGGCAGGAGGATCTCTGGGAGTTAGAGTCCAGCCTGGTCTACATAACAAGTTCCAGGCCAATGAGGATTGTATAGTGAGGTTCTATCTCAGAAAAAAAAAAGTTTTATCCTTTTGGTTTTGGTTTTGGTTTGTTTGTGTGTGGTTCACATACACACACACATACATATTTCCTCAAAGGCCAAAAGATGTTTTCAGATTCCCTGGAGTTGGAGTTAAAGGTTATTGAGAGCCGCCCAATAAGGGTGCTGGGAGCTGACCTGTAGTTCTCTACAAGAACAGTAAGTGCTCTTAGCTACTGAGCCATCTCTCCAGTCCCGATGTGTAGCATTCTTAATGACAAAACTTGCAAAAGAAATTTTCAGATGGAATATATATCTAAACCAAAATAATAATTAAGATAGATGAATGTGTAAAATGAAGAAGCTGGTGAAAACCAGTCATTTCTATAAAATAGCATTAAGCTTAAATGTTTGCTAAACTTGTGGTAAAATTCAGTGTTTATTTCAGAAATAATTGTTTAATAGTTATATGCAAGTAAAGGAAATGCACAGGCATAATATTTGTCCAGAAGTTAACCTTGTAATAGAAATAATGAAAGAACAAAGAAGCTGACATAAACCGAGCTCTGCTTAGAATAAAAGGAGAGGGGAAGTTTCATAGGGAGTCACAGGTCGTGTGTAAACCAGAAACATGTATAATTAAGACTTTTTATTTAATTCTTATAAATTTCCGCAGAAATGCCTACAGTCAAGAAACAGAGTAGTAACCATATTGTGTTTACATATGTTTGCTTTGATTCAGAAAGAACTGTCATTTTAATATCATTTCATTTAAGAGATGATATAAATGTGATTTGCTATTCTTAAATGAAACATTTGACAAGCAATGAACATATATAATTCTGTGTCTGTATATGTTTTGATATTTTGCCAACTTAAAATCTAGACTTGTTGAAATCATGTAATTTGTTAGTGTGCCTAACCTTCTTTCCTAAGATAGACGAAGGGTATGTGTCTCAGAAATTTGAAGGATTCATGAGTTAATACCACCTAAAATGAAATAGAATACTAAAATGTTAAAAACAAAAACAACAACAACAAAAAAAAAAAACAACTGGGGTTGGAGAGATGGCTCAGCAGTTAAGAGCACTGACTGCTCTTCCAAAGGTTTTGAGTTCATTTCCCAGCAACCACACGGTTACTCACCACCACCTGTAATGCGATCTGCTGTCCTGTTCTGGCCTGCACATGTAGGCAGAACACTGTATACATAATAAATAAATATTAAAAAAATACAAAACTAATAAGTATAATTTGAAATATTCAATGGTGCTTAGGTAATAACCATAAATTCTGTAGCTTAAAATATTGGTGCTCATATTAGAAGAGGAAAGAAGGAAAACTTTTATGCATAAAGTTTTGTAAATAAAGCTTTCCAGTTCTTTTTTGCTGTTGTTGTTGTTTTTGTTTTTTGAGATAGGGTTTCTCTGTGTAGCTTTGGTGCCTGTCCTGGCACTAGCTCTTGTAGACCAGGCTGGTCTCAAACTCACAGAGATCCTCCTGCCTCTGCCTCTTGAGTGCTGGGATTAAAGGCGTGTACGTCACCACCGCCTGGCAAGTTTTCCAATTCTTAAAAATGTCTTGAGAAGGTAATTGGCAATAGTTAGTGTGTCATTTTATGTAAGTTACAGTCATAACACGTATTTGTAATTGCCTTTCTGACTGGCTTGGGTCTTAGTGGAAGGAACCATGTAGACAGAAACATGTTTATATTTATGATACTTTTGTATGTCAGGCCTCTCTAGGACTTAAGCATCTACAAAGTTAGGCAGATTTTGTCCAACAGATTTTTGTCTAGTTTATGGCTTTTAATGAATTATAACTTGTATTGGTGTTTGGTTGAATTTTAGTGTGAACTACATACTGGGCACTATTTTAATGTCCCTGCTTATCACTTACTATTTTATTTGTTATAATTAACCCTACATATATTTACTCATTTTTATTTTCAGTGGACCGGAGTTATGAAGAACTTCAGTGGCTACTTAATATGATTCAGACTGATCCTGTACCTTATGTAAGGTTAGTGTATATATTTAATATCTTGAATATGAGTCATGAACCATTTCTGAAGATTATACATGGGAAAGATGTTTATGATTTTTTTTAAAATTTGGGAATGTGTTATGTGCATTTTTAAAGCATTTTTTTTATTTGTATTCTTTTTTCGAGACAAGGTTTCTCTGTGTAGCCCTGACTGTCCTGGAACTCACCCTGTAGACCAAGCTGACCTTGAACTCAGAGATCTGACTGCCTCTGCTTCCCAAGTGCTGGTATTAACAGTCAGTGCCACCACTGCCTGCCCTCCCCCCTTTTATTTTATTTATTTATTTATTTATTTATTTATTTATTTTTTCGAAACAGGGTTTCTCTGTGGTTTTGGAGCCTGTCCTGGAACTAGCTCTTGTAGACCAGGCTGGTCTCGAACTCACAGAGATCCGCCTGCCTCTGCCTCCTGAGTGCTGGGATTAAAGGCGTGCGCCACCACCGCCCTGCTCCTCCCCCCTTTTATTAAATTAAATTAATTTATTTCTTTTACATCCCTACCGCAGTTTCCCTTCCCTCCTCTTCTCCCATTTCCCCCCTCATCCCCCAATCCACTCCTCTGTTTTTCTTCAGAAAGGGGTAGGCCTCCCATGGGTATCAACAAAGCAAGTTTAAAGACTTTTTCTTATTTGATCTTAGAAAAAGATTTTCAAAATACATTGTTAATAGTTTGTAATAAGTGGAGATGATGATGCCTTGTGTGTCCCAGCTTATAATGTCATTTGGGAGCTAATTTCAGGCCATCCTGCTTTTTGTTCATTTAAAATTGTTTTATTACATTTATTTATTTTGTCTATGTCTGCATGCACACGTACCACAGCAGTATGTGGAGACCAGAGATCAAGTCTTTCCTCATGGAGCCACATCACCAGCTCCCAGTTCTTTGTTTCATTTCTTTCAAAGCCGTGATTTTTATTAGAGTTAATATTCTTTTAAAATCTTAAGAAACTAAAAGAATTGCAGGCTTGATGTGGTATCTACCTTTGTATTTGTGCTTACCTCTAGTAGCTGCATTTTTCCTGCTGTTTTCTTTTACACAATGGGGTTTTTATTTAAGAATTAAATTTACCATTTCTGTCTTCCTTTCTTTGCATGTAGTAGATACTTAGGTTTTATTTGATTTAATGTTAGGACTTCATAGAACAGAATTTTAGAGCCGAAGTAAGTCACAACCATTTAGCTAGGGACAGGGACTTAGACCCAGAGCCCCGAATGCATTGTTCAGCTTTCTGCGTCACTTAGCAGATGGTGTTTTTTTAGATGACATAACTCTGCTTTCTCATCTCGGCAGTGCCTCTGGGGTGAGCAGTCTGCTCAAGAGCCCGGGCATTCTATAGCAGTGACTTCTTGGTTAGTAACTCTCAATTTCAATGTTTTAAGTAATGCTTGTTACACAGATTTTTCTATAAGATTATATGATTTGTGATCTATATTTTATTTTGAATAATCTGTACTTGTGCGTGATACAGAGTTGAAATGCAGAGAAAAAGTCTGATAGCTTCCATTTTAAAGTATGAAATTTTAGAGCACGGAATACAGCCTCATTCCTTTGTCTGAAGTGCTGCATGCTCGTAAGTCTTTGGTAGCAACTGGGAAGAGAGACTATAAATGCAATGTAAACAAAGCTGAACATGTATTCATTTATTTTCAGTTTGCATAATTAAAAAATTACCATCTATTTCTGAGAACTTGTTTTAAAGACTAGATATTTTTCAGAAAGTACTTGAGGTAGATTGTCATGGGTTTGTGGTATTTGAAGTTACTGTATTACACACTGTATCTGCACTCAGTGCTTTTGAATTGTGGTTTTGGGGGCTGTTTTCATTGATTCAAATGTCAAGAGCACTATTTACAGTCTGGACTGAAAACCCATTTAGAGGTGGGATGTTTGTAGTTAAGTTTAGCATGTTTTCTTCCTAGTTGACATACTTTCTTTATGTCCCATTTAGAGAAACTTCTCCTTTAATCTCACCCTAGCATATAGGTTATATTAAAACATACAGAGTTGCACAAGAGTGCAGTTAAGGGTTGGTGAAAAGACTCAGCAGGTCACGGCAGAACCCCGAGGTAGAGATGAGAACTGCCTTCTGCCAGTTGTCTTCTAACATCTCTACACATGCCGTGGTGCGCACACCCCCACTACCACACAAAATCAATACCAAAGGTTTCTTTGTTGTTGTTTGGGGGTTTTTGTTTTGTTTTGTTTTTCAGTAAATATTTTGTAGAAAATCATTATGGCAATGAGTGGTCACAGGATAAAAGTGTTTCTACACAGTGATTGCTCTTTCAGCAGTGTTTAGATAGGGTCTCATGATATAGTCTTGATTGTCCCAGATCTTACTATGTAGACCACACTGGCCTTGAACTCACAGAGATCTACCTGACTCTGACTTCCCGGTACACCACTCTTCTTTGTGTTTTAATTAATTTCATTCATTTTTATTTTGTTTTGCTTTGCTTGAGTCAGTCTTACTATGTAGTCCATGCTGGCCCTGCCTTGTCCTCATGAGCACTGGAACTACATGTGTGTAACATGATGCCTTGCAAACATTGTTTTTAGTTTCTTATTTTTATTTTGTGTAGTATGTCTTCTTTCTCATTCTCATTGCTATCACACTTTAGAAAACTTACTTGAGTAAGCATCACATGACTGCCGTGCCTTGTAGAACTCATGGTAAGACCTAGATACTCAGCTGTCTATTTCTGTTTCCATCATTGGCGTTTTCCTGTCCTGTTCCAAACATAAGCATTTTGTTTTTATGAGCTTTGTGGGTTTCAAAACTTGTGGTAAAATGGCCCTCATTGAGAATGGAAACTTCTGAAGGTTGTAGATTTTCCATTCCTGTCTTTGTTACAGGATACTTCAAAATTTGCTTGCGTAAAGATGTGAAGGTTACTCAGAAGTCAGATGCAAGGAAAACTCACAGGACTCATTCTTCCCCTTTAGAATTGAATGTGACCTCTACAGAGCTATCCCTTGCTTCCCTGGACTAGTGCAATTCCCTCAAGTCGTAATCTCCCATAGTCTGCCACAGTCCTATTGTGACTAAATACATAAATACTTGCATAAATATCAATGTCATAGTTTGACTACTTGGCCATTTCTGTTTCCTCTACTGCTCTGTAGCCCTAGATGGTCCAGGATCAGATCTTTTGCCATTGCCTAGTCCATGGCATTTCAGAAAAGTTAGCTAAGTGTATACGAAACAAATGGCTAAATGGATTTTTCCTTTTTCCTCCACTCATATGTATATGAATATATTTAATGTAGTTCATAGATTTGTGGCATGATTAATAAAAACCCAGAGATAGAATTTGGGGTTCAGCCTGAAGGTAAGAAAAGCAAAACAACCAACCACTCGCTCTTACCTCGACCTCAGTCTGAAATGGCGATCCTGCCTGCAGGAATCTCAGAATGAGAGACAGTGTCTGTGAGCTGTCTCCTGCTTTATATTCCTATCTAAGGCTGGGATTAAAGGCCTGCACTGCCCAGTTTCTGTGGCAAACTAGTGTGGCTACTGGGATTAAAGGTGTGTGTTACCACTTCCTGATCTGTAAGGCTGACCAGTGAGGCTGTTTTGCTCTCTGATCTTCAGGCAAGCTTTATTTATTAAAATAAAAATGAAATATCACTAAATAGATTAAAATGATTTTATTTCTCCTGTGACAATTGTAGGTAGAGAAAGTATTTCAAGATGTAATTGAGATGCTTGGGAAGAAGCTTTGAATGTTAGGAGCTCAGTGTCTTGTGAGCTGATCAGAGACTTTCTTTGCTTGTATTGTCTTCTCTCAGCAGAGCGTTTTCAGATTGAAGTCTGTTCGCCATTAAGATAGTTTATGAACTTAACTAAGCAAATTCATTTTGATTAACGTCTGTATCTCTTGGCATACTAATATCTTTTTTGCTCTAAAGTTTATGTGTTTTGTCAATTTTATGTGTCTGTTAGAATAAAAAAGGAATTTAAATGCATAGGCTTAAATAAATCTTTTAATTTATATGTGTTGTTTTAAAACTAAAATTCTAAATTCTCAAAATTGAAGCTTTCTTTCAATAAAAATGACCCCTGCTAGGAGTAGTCACACACGCCTTTAATCCCTGAACTCAGGAGGCAGAGGCAGTGGGGTCTGTGTGAGTTCAATGATAGTTTGGTTTCCATAGGAAGTCCTAGGCCAGCCAGGGCGACATAGTAAAATTCTGTTTCAAAAAAAGGGCTTTGGGGTGCTAAACTACGCATACAAATGCCAGGCTGGTACATGCTTATAATTTCAGTGTTAGAAGGCTGCAACAGGAGAATTGCACGTTCAAAACCAGCCTGGGCTAGATAATACAACCTTGTTACAATAAAATAAAATAGTCATACAAAGTTTGGAAAATAGCAACACCCCACCAAGAGAAAAATATGCTCTATATTATAGTTAGTATAACAAGAAATGATAGTTCTTATCCATTTTGATTTGTTTAATGTATGTGTATAGTTACTTTTGGTTTAGATTATGTAAGGTTAATATAAAGATAGCTTGAAGCTCTCCTGTTTTGGAAGCAAGCATGATCATGACCTGACTGTACCAGTTCTTTGAGGTCATTTATGGTCACTGCTTTTTCTCTTGACAGACTTTCAACTTTTGTTTGTTTTATTGGTTGGCTGGTTTGCTGTTTTTGTTTGGATTGTGGTGGTTTTGATTTATTGCCTTTTTATAGTGGTCAGCATTGGGATTAGACTGCCTCGTGAAGGCAGACATAGTGTGAAGCTTTGGCTGCTGTGGCTCTGTGAACCTGTGACTGAGACTGGTTTGAAGTCTGTGTCAGATATCTAAACACTTTGACATTTAATCTCTGATAAATTAAGCCTGGGCTACGTCTCTTCCTTCCTTTCAACATTTTGTATATTTAGCCATTTATATTTTCCTGTTTAAAAAACTTTTCTAGCAAGGAAACTTTATTGTCATTATTTTTTAATGATGTGTGTGCTTGTGTATGAGTACATACATGTAAGTTTTAGTGTTTTTATCCTTGGGTATTTTAAGTGTATATCTGTGTGCATGCTATCTGTTATGTGCACGGTGAGTCCTCAGGCACCTAAGGAGGACAGAGGAGGACAAGAGATCCTCTGGAACTGGAGACACAGGCAGTTGTAAGCCAGCTGACAGGTTCTGGGAACCAAGCTCCCATTTTCTGTAAGAACAAGCACTCTTAACGACCGAGCCATGGTTTCCAGTCCCTAGCATGTGAACTTTAAAGACCAAAAAATGTTCAAAGTTTGGTAATTTCAGAGATGTGCCAGAGTGCTGTTTACAAATCTTAGACAGGTTAGAAAACATTTGTAGTATCCAAAAGCCTTAATGGTTGGTCTCTATGGTTCATTTTGGATATGTCTAAAGTAGCTGGATAGAAACTTTACTTTTTAACTTACTGCAAATTAAAAGCATACGTTAATATGCTCTACAGGACAAACTCCCTAACATTCCAAAGACTGAGGCAGGAGGATCACTTAAGTTTAGGAGTTGAAGACTAGGCTGGGCATCACAGTAAGACTGCCTAGAAACTCACCCATACTTTATGCCATTTGCCCATAATCCTGATCTACTCATAGAGGAAGAGATCTTGAAGGATTGTGTTTATCCAAAGATGAAAATGGGTATATGAATTATTTATAAAGTTTATGTTCCTTTTCATATAACTATTTTCAATTATATCTAAAGCTACATATTGCCCTTTTAAAAATAAAATAGTCTTGTTTTGTGCAGTCTTTAAAAGTTCTGATAATCTTTGAAAGCAAATCCACAAGATATTTTGGTGAGAAAACATGATAGATATAAGTTTGACATAAAGCACTTAGAAATGGAACTAAATACAAAATTAGATCTAATAGGAAAGGAGAAAAATTGTATATTTTTTTGTGGTTTTTTGGGGGATGGGGTTTAGAGACAGGGTTTTTTCTGTGTAGTCCTGGCTGTCCTGGAACTTGCTCTGTAGACTAGACTGACCTTGAACTCACAGAGATCCACCAGCCTCTGCCTCCTGAGTGCTGGGATTCAAGGTGTGCGCCTATAACACCCGGCTAGAAAAATAGTTTTTATATCTTCTATAGTGTTTCTTATTCATAGCACGAGTCAACAGATGGCCATTTAATAATCCTGTTTTTTAAAATTTTTATTCTTGTAGGCATAAGATTCTAAACATGTTGACTAAGAATCCACCATTTACAAAGAACATGGAGTCTCCCTTATGTAATGAAGCCCTAGTAGACCAGCTCTGGAAATTAATGAATTCTGGTAAGAGAGCAGTGACTTTCAAAATTGTCACTTGTTTTCATTTTACATCAGATTTTTAAAGATGAGAGAGAGAGAGAGAGAGAGAGAGAGAGAGAGACTCGTGTGTGTGTGTGTGTGTGTGTGTGTGTATGTGTGTGTAACCGGTTTTGACTGGCCAGAGAGCCCAATGACTTCTGTTTCTGACTCCCTAGTGTGCAGGAATTCCAGGGGCGTGTCACCATTCCTGGCTTTTACGTGGGTACTGGGATCACACTCAGGGCATCCTGCACAGTTGCCTGTACTTCACTCTGTGACATACTCTCCAGCTCCTCCCCTCTCCACCCTTTAAAATAAGATGTCTCACCTTTACATTAAAGTTAGAACATCTGTTAGAATGTGTTTACTTTGTTCCATACTGTGGTTGCAGAAATGAAAACTGCAGACTTTGCATGTCTTTTAAGTAGTTAAAGGGCTATTAAACACAAACCTTCATAGTCTTTCCACCTCTTTTCTTTAGCCCCCTAGAAGCCTTGATCAGAGATAACTAATTTCATTTTTATTTTTCCAGGACAGTGAGTGAATGTAGAATAAGAGAAAATGTGTAGTTTTAAAGACTGCATGCTACTGTTCCCTGTTCTCAATCTCAGAGAGCATGCCATCTTATTGTAGTATGAGTTTCCATCCTTTTGAGTGAGATCAAGGAATGGAAGGGCATGATGCATAGGAGCGCTAGTGCTGGAATCGGTTTGCTGAGGTTAAACCTCAGCTCAGTTGTTACTCTGTATAACTGGTTTAATCTCTGATGTTTACATAATGCAGGTAGTGAAACCTGTTTCTGAAAACTGAGAAATAAACAACTTGGTCTTTGTAAAGCATGGTGTCTACCTCACATTAAATACTGGGTGCTGTGCTTCTCATATATTTGAGCTTTGTGTGTTTCTCTCCTAGTGTGTTGGGGAATCAAACTCGGGATCTTGGTTAGTTGGCTATACTTTTAGCAAGCAGCCTTGGTAGTTTGTAAGTCATTTTTATTTAATTGGGTTATTAAATCTATGAATTTATAAATCTCATAACTTGATGTGGAAGTCCCCTCTGTGTGCTGTCGTTACCTTTAGTGAATAAGGAAACTGCCTTAGCCCATTGATAGGGCAGAACTTAGATAGGCAGGGAAGACAGAACTGAATGCTGAGAGAAAGAAGGGTGGAGCCAGAGAGACTCCCTGATCCGCCGCCAAAGATAGGTGTGCTGAAACTTTGCTGGTAGGCCACGACCTTGTGGTGATACACAGATTAATAGAAATGTGTTAAATTGAGATATAAGAGTTAGCCAATAATAAGCTAGAGCTAATGGGCCAAACAGTGATTTAATGAATACAGTTTCTTTGTGGTTATTTCAAGGCTAAGCTAGCCAGACCACCGGGACAAACAAGCGGGCCCTCCTCCTACAATTTAGTGCCCAACGTGGCGCCATTCTGTTGTCTGAGATTTCTGTCCTGCCCAGTTCCCCAAGTCGTTAAGTCCCAAAGAAACACACAGAGGTCTCTATTAATTATAAACTGATTGGCCCATTAGCTCAGGCTTTTTATTAACTCTTATAACTTATTTTAGCCCATTATTCTTGTCTATGTTAGCCATGTGGCTCAGTACCTTATTCGGCGAGACAGTCACATCTTGTTTCCTCTGTGTCTGGGTCACAACTGTAGAATAAGCTTTCCTTTTTCCAGAATTCTCCTGTTCTTGCCATCCCACCTCTACTTCCTGCCTGGTTGCCCCACCTATACTTCCTGCCTGGCTACTGGCCAATCAGTTTATAATTAATGTAGACCTCTTTGTGTTTCTTTGGGACTTAAAAACTGCGGGAACTGGGCAGGAGAGAAACCTCAGACAACAATAACTCTATAAACAGTTTTTGTTATAACTCTTAATAGGCTGAAATTGTAATACTGTTTGATTAAAGGCTAAATCAAAAGCTAGGCTGAAATTATTTTTGTTTAAATGGTTTTTACAAGATGAGTGGGTATTTATTGTAATTTAATTTTTTTATTTTCTAATACTTAAAATTTTTGAGTTTGCTTTTTTTCTGTCTAGAATATGTAAAATAGCTTGCCATGCTAGCCATTGATAACTTGTTGACTCACAAATGCTAAATTCCAATATTTCAATTTTCCAAATTTACTCTTTACTATCTTACTCTTTCTGAAATGCTAAGCACTGTATAACTTCTGCACTCTTGCATAGGGCAGTAGCCATGGGAAGTATACCAGTAGAGCTTTCTTGAAGAAATGATAAAATGAAAGTGGAGGGACTTTGTTTTTAAAAACTCGAAAAATCAAAAAAAAAAAACGAATATCAGAAAATGGTTTGTAAACTAGTCTGAGCTAGGATACGGTTAGGTGGTTTTGATTAGTGTTCCCTCCTCATGAAAGGCTGTCATATATGCACAGAGTTTACTACTTTACTTGTTACTGTGAAGCTATCATTGTCTCTTGTTTAGATCTAGGGAATGAGCACAAACTTCAGAAACTTTTAAAGAATTATGCAGCAGTAAATCTTTTGTACAAAATGTGCCCCCTCAAATATTAGTAAGAGTATGTGACTAACTATAATAGCTTAAAAAATTGAGGAAGGCATAGCAAGTTATAAAGAATTCTCTTATTGGGGCTGGAGAGATGGCTCAGTGGTTAAGAGCACTGGCTGCTCTTCTAGAGGTCCTGAGTTCAATTCCCAGCAACCACATGGTGGCTCACAACCATCGCCCTTTTCTGGCGTGTGGGCAAAAATGGAGGCAGAATGCTGTATACATAATAAATAAATAAATTAAAAAAAAAAGAATTATTACCTCAAGGACAACATCAAGGATTTTCCTACTCTATCTATCATCGTCTTAATGGTTGTTCTTTTAAGAAAGGGGATATAAGCAAAAAAGTTTAATCATTATTGATGTCACAAAGTCTTGCTGAATCCTGTGTGCCTTGTTGGGTCTCCTGGATTATCTGGGGGGCAGTATATAAATTCATATCAAGAACAAATACGCTGGACTGGGAATGTGACTCATTTGATAGAAGTTTGCCCAGCATGCACATAGCCACACAGCCCTGATTTTTATCTCTGACACCATATAAGTTTGGTACATCTCTAATCCTAGGACTCAGAAGCTGTATCATAATCAAAATAATCCCTCAGTACTTAGCAAGCTCAGACTAGCCTGGGCAGCATGAGATTGTCAAAAACATAGCAGCTGGCAGCCAGGTGTGGTGGCACATGTCTCTAATCCCAGTACTCGGGATCTCTGTGAGTTTGAGGCCAGCCTGGTCTACAAAGTGAGTTTCAGATTATCTAGGGCTGTTATACAGAGAAACCTTGTCTCGAAAACCCAAAACAACAACAACAAAAAACCCAGCTGGCAATGGTTTGAGTGTGGAGACTTTTAAAATTGGTTTCATTTAAAGTATGTAGAGGAGAACATTATAGCCATTGAGAAAAAATAACTAAGTGTAGGAAGATTTGCTTAATTGACTTCAGAAACAATATGAAAATGTTGAACAAAATGTTTTCTTCCTCCATAATAAACCTCATTTAGAATTACGTTATATCAAGAAGTTATACATTTTTTGTGCCATACTTAATTTTTTATACTACATTTAATTTGTGATTTTGCATATGAGTGTGTGGTGTGCATGTGTAGAATTCAGAGGACAACTTGTGGGAGTCAATTTCTCCTTTTCCGCTCTGTAGTGCCCAGGGATCAACCTCCAGTGCTCAGGCTTGGTGGCAAGCACTTTTGCCTGCTTATTAACCACCTTCCAGTCCATTTCCTTATCATACTTAAAACCTCAAATTTGTGAATTTACAGGTAGATATATATCTTAGTAATTGAATACTGTTGTTCTAGCAAGTGGGCAGAGAATGAATACATGTAGAATAATTGTTGAAGAAGAAGGATGGAAAGAAATATTTAAAGTCAGAACAGCTTATTGTATAGCAGATTTCCACTTGTGCTGGCCGGATGGCATGGCAGTTAAAGGCACTCGCCACCAAGTCCGATGGTTTGAGTTAGACCTCTGGAATCCACGTGCTGGAGAGAAGGAATTGACTCTGACTTCCACACTTCACCACCGCGCCTGCACACACACGTGCTCAAAACACACTCACTTCACCACCGCGCCTGCACACACACGTGCTCAAAACACACTCACTTCACCACCGCGCCTGCACACACACGTGCTCAAAACACACTCACTTCACCACCGCACCTGCACACATATGTGCTCAAAACACACTCACTTCACCACCGCGCTTGCACACACACGTGCTCAAAACACACTCACTTCACCACCGCGCCTGCACACACACGTGCTCAAAACACACTCACTTCACCACCGCGCCTGCATATGTGCTCAAAACACACTCACTCAGTTAATTGATGGTAAGGTGAACGGTGTGGTAACAAAGTTTTCTCTGTCTCCTCTTAGGTACTGCCCATGACTGGAGGTTACGGTGTGGTGCTGTGGATTTGTACTTCACTTTGTTTGGCCTCAGTAGACCTTCCTGTTTACCCTTGCCAGAGCTCGGGCTTGTTCTTAATCTCAAGGAGAAAAAAGCTGTCTTGAATCCTACCATAATTCCAGAAACCGGAGCAGGCGCCCAGGAATCTGCGAGTAATGCCGGCTGTCATGCTCAGCTTGCTGGATTCCAGAACCCTGTGAGTGTCACGGTAGTACAGAAGACAGAGCCTCACTATGTAGCGCCACCTGAGGAGGACAGTGTCTTCTTTGAACCAGTCAGTTCTCTAGCCTCGGGTCACTGCCTTTTTAACCCCCAGCTTGTGTTTGCTTAGCATTTTACAATTCCTAAAATGTCACTGTCATCATGTGACTAACCGTAAGAGATGTGCTCTGGTCTGCTTGTGTGGTGATGTCAAGGTCTTGTGGACCGTAGGATTTCTCCTCTGCATAGTACAGCATAAACTGCATATAGTCAGCTCATAGAGCTGTTATACTTCAGCCTTGTCTGTTTGTATCAATGGCAAACTGTTGAATTTGAGATCCTGCCTGTAAGTTGTTGTTTCTGCGCAGTTAGAGCTGTGGGGCAGTTCTAAACAGGACAAGTTCCTGGCAAATGGTTTTGAAAAGAAAATAAATATTGAATGAATGGATAATCTGATGATTTGGGAGGAGATGGTACATTACATTTTATAATATTTAAAAATTGTGGTTTTGCCTTTAGAAAACGTAACTCTGCCTTGTAAATTGACAAGGAGTGTGTGAATCATTTCTCCATAAAAGGGTTTTTCCAGAAATGATTTTCATACAGATGACAGTTTCTGCCATGCTCCAGCCTTCCGTTTTCAGCAGTACTCAGACCAGACTATTCTCTTGGCCGTTCCCTGCTTCCTGGTGTCTTGACACTTGACACCATGTTATCTGGAATATAAAGTGTGTTTAAGGTTTGGGTTGGGGAGTACTAAGACAAATCCTAGGCAAAGGAAGGAAGTCCCCTTCTAAAGAGCTCTCGGGTAGGAGTCCTTTCCCACGTACATGGATATATCCATGAGCACACGGAGAAAATGACATCAGAGGATGCAGCCTTTTAGGGCTGGACCCATGGCTAAGCCACTAAAAGTGTTTACTGCTCTTCCAAATGACTCGGGTGGCTCACAGCAGCCTCTGACTGCAGCCCCACGGAATCAGTACCCTCTTTTGACCTCCCGTTCCTGCACACACATGAATATCCCTCATAAACACACAGGTACAAACACGTAATTGTGATTAAAAAGGATAAAAATACATCTTTAAAAAAAACATGAGATGGGGGGAAAATCTTTAAAAGTTGACAAACACTTCTGCCCCCATAAAAGACAGTAAAGGGCTAAACATTTTACATCGGTTCCTGTTCACTTTTGGTCACTGGGCATGCTCTACTCTGTGGTTGTCAGAGCTGTTCAGCTTTTGGCTGTACTACAAGCTCCTTGTTTCCAGAAACCTATTTTTGATTTTAAGTATTGCCACAGGATCACGATGTACTAAGTGTGCAACAATATTGTGAGCAAGAATGAAGAGCAGGCTGGCCCCCGGGGGGTCCCACTTGAGCCTGGTGAGATGCTGGAGAAAAAGAGGGGGCTAGCAGTGAGGTTAAGCTTGCCATCCGAGTAAGAGATGGCAGTACTGTGTTAGCTATGTAGGACTGTCTGTAGGATTTCCTAAGCAGGAGCATGTCAGAAATACCAAATCATAAAAGAATCCAGGTCTCCTAAAGATTCCATCCGGGTATTTAACTTACTGCATATTTCTTGACATTTGGGAAAGCGCATTCCACCCTAGCTTACCAGTTCTTCTCACAATACAGGCATGGGCCTTAGTTGCTATTCACAGTAATATCTTACCAGCCACTTTGGGGGCTGGTCCCCCAATATTTGTTTCAGTGCCTTTTGAAGAAAAGAGACTATTTTTCTTAAGGTTATAATGGGTCTGTTCTTCGGCCTTTCTTCCGCTGTCCTGAAAGATCACGACTGTACATAAAGTGATGCCATGGCTCTCTGTTCTTTTGTTGTGTGTGCTCTAGTTTTCAGGTTCTCAAGATGAGGAGGAGGTTGATATGGATACTGTTCATGATAGTCAGGCCTTCATTTCCCATCATCTGAACATGCTTGAAAGGCCATCTACTCCAGGTAAGGATAATGTACCATGGTCCCAGGGGAGGTGGAGACTGTTGACATATATCCATTCTAAGACCTGTTCATTTATTTTAAATGAGCAGAATAAAAATGGGAAGGCAATATAAAATTCTCAGATTATATCAGTATAATTTACACTGACAAAATAATAAATTGTAGAAAGTACTTTTTGGAGGTCTGACCAGATGGCACAGTGGCTAAAGGCACTTGATATGCAAGCTGGGTTCCCTGAGTTCAGTCCTTGGAACCCTGTGAAGGTGGAAGGAGAGAACTGAACTCATAAATCTCTGCCTTCCATCTGCGATTATGGCATGCGTTTGTGCTTGCATATGTGAATGCATGTTTACATACCTTCACACACAATAATAAACTTACATATGTGAATGCATGTGTACATACCTGCACACAATAATAAACTTACATATGTGAATGCATGTGTACATACATGCACACAATAATAAACTTACAAGTGCTGCTTCTTTTAGTTTGTTGTATTATAACGGTGGGTCTTGGTGGTCCACACTCGGGTCCTCATGCCTATGAAACTAGTATATTACTGATTGAGCCATCTCCTCAGCTTAGATTTATTTTTTTTAACATTTTTTTTTCTATTATGACTTTGATTTCTTTTTTACCCCCTTGAATACTTTTTCTCTTTTTTCTGATTATTTAAAATCCTAAGCCAGCTGGTAGTTGTACACGCTTTTAATCCCAACATTTGGGAGGCAGATGTAGGCTGATCTCTTGAGTTCGAGACCAGCCTGGTCTACAGAACAAGTTCCAGGACAGCTAGGGCTACACAGAGACACTCTGTCTTGAGAAAAACAAACAGAAAAGTCAACTCTAGTCCTGGTCTGTACTTTTGTAATGGTCTTTATGTTTCCTTTATTATTATGTTAAACTGACCCCCTGTGTCTTAATGTGTTTTGGTTGGAGGTGTGCATCATCAGATGTCACAAGAGCTGTAGCAGCTTGTTCTCAGCTTGTGCTTAATAGGCTGACTTCTGCACCGGGATTTTCAGTCTGGGATTGTCCGATAGTGAGTTATCTTTTTGGAGACAATTGTTGACTCTAAGTTTTTCTAGTCCAGTTATCTAGCCTTCCTCTTTAAAGTTTTTTATATTCTCTCTCTCTCTCTCTCTCTCTCTCTCTCTCTCTCTCTCTCTCTCACACACACACACACACACACACACACACACACGCACACCATTTCCTTTCCCTCTGAACCTTTTATTTTTTCCTACCTGGTTTTTTGGTGGCTGTGCCATTAGCTGATGATACCCCTCCTCAAGCAGCTGTTAGCAATAATTACCACAGAAAGAGATGGGGCTTTACTTCCTTTATGATGGGAATGTGTTGATATTTGTTGCTGCTGTGTGCCATGGTTACTCTTGATCTTAAATTCTTTCTGCCATCTTTTCTGTCATGTTCTGTGAGTCTCTGGAGAGGGAAGGGATATAGACACTTTATTTTAAGATGAGCCTTTTTCTGCCATTTATTCTTAGCACTTTGGCCAGTTATAAATCTACACTTACCTTCACCGGCTAAGAGCCACAGAAGTCTTCGACTAAACATAAATATTTAGAAGACAGTTTGACATGTTCAACAGTGGCCATGTGTTCCCTGCTTGAGCCCATGTCCTCCCAGTCATAGGTTATGACCAGGTTTATAGTACCAGGTATGTATTATTATCGCAGAACAGTTGGTTATGCCACAAATAGTCATGCTTTTGTTTCTCCAGTAGACATGCTTTCCTGACAGGTCAGTTTTGTAGCCCACATGGTCTACAGCTGGGTGAGACTAGGAGTGAGTTCCCTCCCCAGCAGCCTACATTGTACCTTCCTGCACCACAAACTCTGTAAGCAGAGAGGGAGCTTCCAATTCACTTCTACATTTCTTTGTCTCCTGCAACCAAAGCATATGGGGTCATCAGTAAAAAGGTTTGGCTGGCCACCTAGAACAGCGACAAAGCCTGCATTCTTTTTTTTTAGGTTTATGTATGTGTGTGTTTATGCAAGTACCCTCCGAAGCCAGAAGAGCATGTTTGATTCCCCTGAGTTGGAGTTAGAAAAGCTGTAAGCCTCTTGACACGGGTGCTTGTAACTGAACTCGCATCCTTCAGAAGCACAGCAAATGCTTTTAACTGCTGAGCCATCCTCCATTCCCATAGCCTTTACTCTTTCGGGGGTATTTGCAGCCTCTGTGACAAACAACTCATGGGGGATGCACTGCACCTGGCATTGGGGTTCTCCTTTGCCCATGACTTCTAGGAGAGCATTATCTTTCCATGAAAATTCTGTATATGCTCTTCCTTTAAGGATCTGTGTAGTGGTTGTTTGGTCATTATGAATTATCTTAGTTTGGCATGCTCTGAAGTGTCTATTTCTCTTAGCAATTAAAAAAAATCCTTGTTGACTTTAGCAGTCATAGTTAGCAGCTGTCTGATTTCAGGGCTTAGTGTGTCTTTCCGTGTTTGCCTGGCTCTTCGGGTTGCTGATGAGAGTCTGATGTGTTTTTCTTTGTAAATGTGTTACTATCTCCCTTGTCGCTTTTAATATATGTATTACTTTTTTTCTTTAAATGCTAGATCTTTCATATCACTGACTGGCCTTGAACTTGCTGTGTAGACAATGATGAATTTCTTATCCTCCTTCCTCTACCTCTTAAGTACTAGAATTATAGATGTTGACTACCCATGTTTGATTATTTATATTGTTCTTCAAGACAGGGTTTCTCTGTGTAACAGCTCTGGCTGTCCTGGAACTCACTTTGTAAACCAGGGCGGCCTCAAACTCACAAAGATCTGTCTGGGCTCTGCCTCCTGAGTGCTGGGATTAAAGGCCTGCACTGCCATGCCCAGCTTCCATGTCTGGTTTTGTACTAGGTGGGGACTTAATCCAGGGCTCTATACATACTAAGCAAACATGCTGCCAAACATCTACTTTGTAGAAGTCAGTTTTTGCAGCTTTCAGTGTTCTTTCTTTGCTCAGTATTTTTTAAATTTTCACTGTTACATATCGTGGAAAGATTTCTTCTCCACTCATGTCTAGTTGGGGTTGTAAATACCTCTTGTGTTTGGATGTCTGTTTCTCCAGATTTGAGGTATTTTCTGTTGTAATGTTATTGAATAGTTTCTGTCTTTAGTATTTTATCTCAGTTCTTCCTTTTAGTCTGTGGATATTTTTCTTAGGTTTTATCTCTTGATCATATGCAGAGTTCTTTGAGATTGCAGTTATACTGTTTGGATTTTTTCCCATTCTTACTTATTGGTATTTGAATTCAGCATTTCTTTTGGTATATGTGTGAGTGCATGCATGTGTGCGTGTGTGTGTATACATTCCACAGTACACACGTGAAAGTTGTATGAGAATTTGAAGAAGTCAGTTCTCTCCCTTCCATCATATGGGTCTCAGGAATTAGAGTCAGGGTTTTAGGCTGTGCAGTAGGGTCCTTTTCCTCCGTCAACCTAGTCTTCCATCCTGACACTCACTCTTCTGTTGTTAGTGGCTTCAGTGTAGTTTGTACTTAATTCATTTTTTTTTTCATTTCTAACATTATTTTCTCAAATCTTAATTTTCTACCTGAATTAATCTTTTACAGTGCTGTAGAAGAGACACTTTTTTATCCGTATCACTCAGTTCCTGTTTTCTTTCTTTGTGTTGTTGAGTTTCTTCATCTACTTTTCATGATATATTTGAAGCCATTCATTTTTGTTAGTTAAAATTTTAAGTATTTCGGTGTCTTGAATTCAGTAGTTGAGGACTTAGGATCTTTTGGAGGAGTCGTGTTGTCTTGCTTTTCATTATTCTTGAATTTCTGTGTTGCAATTTATACCTCTTTTGGTCTGGACACTTCTGGTTTTATTATTCATCAGCCTAGTCTTGAGGGTTCAGTCTCTATTGCTACTCAGAAGAGAAGACAAACTGCTGAACTGTCAACATCAAACTGTAAAAGATGCAGACCGGTGAGACGGGTCAGTGGTTAAGAGCTCCTCATCCAGAGGACCTGGGTTCAATTCCCAGCACCCACATGACAGCTCACAGCTGTCTGTAACTCCCAAGACCTGACACCCTCATACATACCTGCAGGCAAAAATACCAATGCACATTAAGTAAATAAATTAAAAAAGAAAAAAACTGTAAAAACCACAGGAGCACAGGTAAAATCTGTTAAATCCTGCTGATATCACTGATGACCTTGGAAATGAAAATAGGAAACTTTTGTATTATTGTTACCACCTTTGTATTTCCCATCCCTCCTGCCCCACGCCTTGTAGAAAGAACCCTCTCCCTTTTTTTTTTCTGTTGTTTTTTTCAAGATAGTTTCTCTGTGTTCGCTGGCTGTCCTGGATTTCACTTTGTAGACCAGGCTGGCCTTGAACTCATAGAAATCCACCTGCCTCTGCCTCCCAAGTGCTGGGATTAAGGGTATGAGCCACCAGGCCTGATTTAGATTTTGTTATTATTGACTTTCCTTTTCTCAGGTCATCGGTAGGCAGCCTTTAGTCTCCATCTTATATAACAGTCCCAAGGTCCCTTGTAGAACATATTTCTGATTTATTTGATAAGTTTGGGACTGAATTCTATTACAATCCTGTTCATGTTATAACGCTAAGCTAATTCTTTAAATGCATTTGTAATCCCTACGTTATTTTGATATATTCAGTAAGTTTGATAATTGAAATGTTTTTAGAAAATTTTACAAACTATATGCAAATGCCAAAAAGCAATAAAATATAGGAAATGGCTTCTGCAACAGAGTATGGGGTCTAGTTTATGTGTTCGGCAAGTCTTTCGAGTTTATTGCCACTCGACTATGAATTTCCTCAGATGGAGGCAATTGAACAAAGTGTTACTTGTGATCTTTAATAACCTTAATATTGTATTCATTTATGATTAGAGTTTTGCTAGGATTAAACTATTTCTGGTTTTAAAGCTCACACGTGAAACCTGTCAAGCTTTTTTTCTGCTAAATATATTTTCCCTTTCACTTGATCTTTTAGGGCTTTCTAAATATCGACCATCCAGCTCCAGATCTTCCTTAATGCCCCAGCATTCATTAGGCTGTGACATCATACCACCCACAAAACCCCCGTGGAGTATGGAACTGTCCCGAAAGGGAATAGGTACAGTTACTTGTTTTTTGTTTTATGTTGTTTTGTCTCAAGCAAATTTAAATTCAGAGTTAATTTATCAATTTAAAAAATACTGAAAAGATAGGAAACTTAGTTTTCTTGCAATACATTGGTTTTATATTTTGTAACTCTAAAGACTGTTTCAGGATAGTGTTTATCTGTTTCAAAAGTTGTGTTTCTGTTATAGAAAATTTGTAAGAAACAGCAAGAAGAAAAATAGATTCATTATGCTTTTCCACACACATTGTAATACCTGTGACTGTTTGCTCTTGCCTTACAGTCAGACGTCAATTTCAACACAACCCTTAGAATTGCTGTCATTATTGCCTTTATAAAACCCACAGATTAGCCCCTTATTTTTTCACCCAATGCTCAGGATTGCTGTTTCATTCATGAAAACGCAGTGCAGACATACACAACTTACATTTAAAGTTATTCCATACAGGACTGGCAAGATGGCTCTGTAGTAAAGGTGGCTGCTGCCAAGCCTGATATCCTGAGCTTGATCCCCAGAACCCACATGATAGAAGGAGAGAAGTAAAGTTGTTCTCTGAGTCACACATAAACACACACCACACACACACACACACACACACACACACACACAGGTTTAAATTATCCCCTAATAATTGGACTTTCCTAAGAAAGGTCAGCTCAGTTGTACTTATTATGTGTTTACTCCTTTACATGTCTTCAGCTTCTTGTGTCCATTGTTGCTTCCTAAGCAAAGAGTATACTCTAAATAAACAGCAGCTGTCAGATGCTGTGAACTACCAGGAGGAAGGATTAAGTATTTGAGTGTTGAAGGAAAAGGAGTAAGAAAAAAAGCCACATAAGCAAGTCACTTCTGAAGACTTTCCAAAAGTCATTAGTAAACCTTAAACATCTATGAATTTCTGCTTATGTTTCAGTGGGTGGATTTTGCTTGTATAATGTATGTTTTTGTATGATATAAACAGAAGAGTAATGTTTATTGATCTGAGGAAGGAACTTGGGGACCAACTGTGATTAATAGTAGGCTTCAGCCAAAAGCAACAGCTCAAAATGCTTTAGTGTTAAGACCACAGACTACAGCCTTTTGTGAGGTGTGTACATTTATGTAATAGATTCACACAATGTGTTTCAGAGGGAATCCAGCTGGGACTTTGGCTTGCATTTTCAGGAATGAAGGGATTGACGATTGTTTTTTTGGCTCCTCCTCTCACTTCCTCCTTCCTCACTTCTCTCATCTCTCATTTTGATCTTTTCCTTCTCTCCTTCTCATGCGTGTGTATGTGTGTGTGTGTGTGTTCTAAACTGTGTGTGTGTCTCTGGAGACTGAACACAGGGCTTCTACATGCTGTTCTAAACTCCATCCTTAACCTCTGTGTGCATGTGACTTTGGTTTGGTATGATTTCACTGATTCATTATATCTATTAAATGTTTACTACAAATGGGGAGTTGTCTATTCAACTAAGTTATAGCTGAAGGAGTTTCAGATTTCTTAACATTAGTCTGAAAATGATTCTTTGACCTTCTCCTTAGCTGTGTAAAAGTCAGCTCTGCGTTCCTAGAGTCAAGTCAGTTTCTGTTCCAAAACGAGTTTGAATACATGTGTTTGAATGTTTTAGTGATGCGGCATATCAATGGTATAAAAAGCAAATATTTAACATTTACTGTGTGAGGTTTTATATCATTGTTCTAGTATTACTTTGAAAAATACATTTTCAGTTTTATTTTGTAGTTTCTTTATGGTATTGTCCAGTCTCATCATTTGGGAAGATCAGAGGAAGCTAAATACAGGACTAGAGCTGGGAAATAAGGAAGCCTGGAAGTTGAGGTTTAGCTGTTAACAATGTGAGGAAGCAAGAGTACACTGGCAATATTAATTTAGAAGAGTGTGTTTTACAAATGGTAGTATTCTAATGGGGTCTTTGTGTGTGTGTGTGTGTGTGTGTGTGTGTGTGTACGTGTGCATTTTGAATTTCAAATATAGCTTTTTCCTAACACATCGTTACATTGGATGAAGTAGCTTTTCTAAACACAACAAAAGCTCTTTTATTAACAGATGACAAGCAATAGAAGTATCGACCTACTTCCTTTCTCATTTGTACATTTATTTGTGTGTGCGTGCATACTCTTATGTTACAGTGCACATGTAGCCGAGTTTGCAGGCTTCAGTTCTCTCCTGCTGTTACTTGTGATCTGGGATGAGACTCAGGTTGTCAGGCTTGTTGGTAAGCACTAAGTGCTGAGCCATTCTGCTGACTGGTGTAACAGTGTCCTGTAGGAGCAGGATTTTCAGATCCGGCTTCTGGGATGTCAGACAGTCAGTGTTAGTCTAAACCAAGAAACATCAAATAAGTTGGTTGTGAGGTGGAGTTCCTCTCTGCCTTCTCTCAGAGTTGGGAATGTGTAGTTGCAGGATTAGTTAGGTTCCTGAAAGAGCACAGTGGAAAGAGAAGGGACGGTCTCCCTTTGGTCTACAGACTGTAGATTGAGGAGCACAGTGGAAAGAGAAGGGACGGTCTCCCTTCAGTCTACGGACTGTAGATTGAGGAGCGCATGTGGGGTTTGGGGCCATATCTAGCTGAGGTCTCTTTTATTCATTGTTGCTAAAACTTAGAAAAATTTTGCTCTGGTTGCCTAAGAATGAATAGACAGCATATAAAAATCCAACGAGTTACAGCTTTTCTCGAAATATCTAAGTGAAAGGCCCCTTTAGCGGTGTTCCTTCTTTATGTTGCCTCCCCAGGTTGAGAGCTGTTGATGTAGATCCCTTGCTTTCTTTATCTCATGAGGTGAGGCGACGTCTCAAGGACTTAGAGCCAAGAAGCAAGATGATTCTCAGGAGTGGAAATGTCTTACAGACCTCGTCTAGGAGGGATAGAAACAAAACACAGTGGTGCTTTAAGTAAGATGGAGAAGACACGCATATTCTGTTAGTAGAGGACAGTGATAAAATGCTTTTAACCACCTCCTCTTCCTTTACACACACACACACACACATCCTCTCTCTCTGTCTCTGTCTCTGTCTCTCTCTCTCTCTCTCTTCCAGGGTGTGGGCAGGTAAAGAAGACATTTCAGAGTTGATTTTGTGGAGGCAATAGGTCCAGCAAGCCATGGGGTAACAAAGGAGCGGTGTAAGCATGGTTCCCTTTGTTATCTTTCCCTCCTCTTTTCCCGAGGGAAAGAGAACAGGCAGGAAAGGCTGTGTGGTTCTGTGAGTGACAGATAGAGCATCCTAGAGCCTCTCCCTCCCAGTGCTGAGCTCCCTCTCCTCCACTGCAAGAGGGGGCAGCAGGACTTTCTCCTAAGCTTATTTAGTGATGGCAGGGATGAAGAGCAGAGGGGAAGGGCGTGAACGTGGAGCAGAAGGAATTCCCTAGTGATTTCTGTGGGGAAGAAGAGAGTCCTGCAGCTGTCTCTCCCGGGCTGCTGGATTATGTAATGCCTTCTTGCATAATTCAGAAAACACAATTCTGGTACTTGAAATCTTACTTTGAAATTAAAACAATTTGTTTTAAAAAGCTTGGATGCTTTCCCTAGAGATTTTTCTTTTGTAACTCAACATGAAAAACAGACTGATTTTTTTTTCTTTTTAATCTATAAATTACAATGATGTATTTCAACAGCTTTTTTAAAAATTTGATCTAAAGAATCAAAGAGCCGAATTCCTATCTTCCCTAATAGAAACTACTACAGACTTTGTCTTAAATATGATCATATACCTCCCTAATGGGAAAGAAGTCAATACAATTAGTAGATTGTTCACTGTTTCTTAGGCATTCGTATCAGATATACTGCAAAGCTCGCAAGTTGGGCTTTTATTAAGTACTTTCATTTGTTTTACAAATGTTAAGTTGACTACAGCTTGCTTGTTTGTTCAAATTTGATCTTAGGGAAGATTTTACGTTGGATAGAATAATTCAGAATATCTTTTGTATAACACAAAATGGAGAAATTATGGTGTTTTGAATTATGTGTTATCTCTTCCTCTACTATATCTAAAATAGAAAAGGCATTTTTCACATCACCTAGGGGTTTTGTCAGTTTTAGAGTGAATGCCACCGAGCCATGCTGAGCCATCTCCACGGCTCTGATTTTTATTTTCAGAATGCATTTGTTTAAGCCAGTGCCCACTGAAAGTACACATTGCAGTCCTCTTAACATTTATATCTTAAAATTTATATTCTAGTCCACATCTTTTTCTCTCTCCACCCTGCAGTGTATTTAGTAAAGAAATTGTATTTTTATCTAGTTTTAAAGTATATAATTTTTCTGTTTATTTATGGTAGAGTTAACATAATGGAGTTCTTTGTAATTTCTGTAAAATTACAGTCCTACCTAGACATGTAATTAGATTCAGGTTTATCAGTGGTGTATATTTCCATTTGGAAATATCCACTATCTGATTGACTCTTTTCCAAGGTCAACTACTGTGGATGTTCAGGATCTAAATGTATTAACTCATTGAAGATTACAAAGTAATGCTATTCTAATTAATCTTTCCATTTTTATTTATAGGGTGGATTAGTTCTATAAATCTAAATTTGTCTTCATTATTACTCAGTGGTGTGAGCCATATAGGAAATGCCTCTCTCTGTGTACAGTTAATAATTTTAAAACAATAAATGCATTGGCCAGCATCCTTTAATGGTGATCAGTTTCAGTTCATATTTAGTATCCACAATCAGTATTGAAATTGCTATATCTTTAGACGTCTTTTAAGGTTGACACCTGAGTTAGTTGGGCAGAACTTGAAGTTCCTTGCTGTTGGATCTAATGCTCCAGGCTCATCTTATAAGTATTCTGCTCAAACTGGAGCCAGTGCTTTGTCACAGGAGCCGTCGATCCTGTCACCCAGAGTCTTAAAGCTAGTTAACGTCTGTGTTCTCTGTGTCAAGAAAAATTCAAGATTTGTAGTCAAGATACCCTAATGTGAGCTATGAGACCTGCAGGTAAAGATGAGTTCACCTTTGAAGTGGTTTTAGGTGTTCCCTAGGAAAGAGTAAAGCGCAAACATCCATTTAGCCTTTGCCTCTGCTGGGAAGCCCAACTTCGAAGGTAACTGTTGGCTTTTCTGATTCCAAGCAGCTTGGCCGCTGTTTAGGAGTGATGATGAAACCTGTGCAGCTCAGGACCGGAGGCTCTGAAGTGCAGACAGTTTAGACAGTTGCCAGACTCAGTTGATGGAGAATGGCACACAACGAGCAGGGAGCCCAGGTGTTTGTGTGCCGTGAACGTTGTCCCATTCCCTGACTTTGTCTTGTGAGCTGAGTCTGTTTTTCTGTACTTGTAGCATGAGGACTATACTTAATTCTTTAAGACTGAAATTAAGATCATGTCATAGCACAGTCTCATGTCTGTTAATAGTTTCCAGGGTCAGCAGATTATTAGAACTGAAGGAGGTATTTGAGGACATCAAGTTGCTTCTTAAATGAGATTCAGCACATCCTTAGGTTAACAGGACAGTCTCATCTAGAACACGGCATCCTGGTTTTCAGTTCTTGTCTTTTGTGCTGACATAACTCTTGTCTTTAAGAACATTTCCTTTCACAGCCTGCCTACTCTCCTGGGTCTTCAGAAGAGGTTCCCTTACCTATATATTCCCGAAACTGTCTGAACAGCTAAATGGGTGTTTCATTTCACTAAGATACCATTATCAGGAACTGAGATAGTATATTTGTGCATTAGGAATTTTCTCAGTCTGAATGACTCAGTAAAGTACAGCCTTCCCCCATGGTAGTTTAGGGCAGAACAGTATTTGAAGGAGTTTTATTTTCATTGGCCGGTATAGATTTTAGTATATAGTGCACAGGTATTCATTATTGTTTAATCATAATACTTGGAAAATATTTACATTCAAAGGTTGATTTGCTAATACACTAGCAATTTTTTTATAGGCTAGATGGACCTAAATTAGTTGACTTCTGGCCAAGATGTTGGCAATTCTGTTGAACTTATTGGCTATTGTATTTGGATACTGCATGAGACTGTCCTCAGCGTCCTCCTTGGATAGCTGTCCTTTTTACTATCAACAGAAATTCATTTGGTGTTTTAATCTTGAAGGTAAAGAGCAGCCTTTGGAGCTGGGCGTGCATTCCATGGTAGCAGCCCCACTCTCAGTGTTTGCTAAGGAGTCTACGTCCTCTAGACACAGCGAGCACCATCATCACCATCACCACGAGCACAAGAAGAAGAAGAAGAAGCACAAGCACAAGCATAAGCATAAACACAAGCACGACAGCAAGGACAAGGACAAGGAGCCCTTTGCCTTCTCCAGCCCTGCCAGCGGCAGGTCTGTGCGCTCGCCTTCCCTCTCAGACTGAAGCATCTGCAGAGCCCTCTCCCGAGTCCCGCACAGAAGATGGTGTTACTAAAGCCTGGTCCTCCGTGGAGCATGGTGAAGGGGAAATACAGAGAAGCTGGAGTGCACTGGAGTTCTGGGCATTCAGTTTCTGCTCTTTGTATATCTGGGGTCTAAGGAGGAACTGGTTTTTTTGGTTCTGGATGAACTGTTCCATCCCTTTGTTTCTTCCTGAAAACACAGAGTGACTTCTTTTACAAAAGCCTTCATGTCTCCTGCAGACCCATTCACATGTGGTCGCCTGTGAACTGTAAGGTCAGGTATGCGTGGAAGCTGCTGATGGATGTCATGGGCAAAGGAGCATCAGCAGAAGGAACTGCCAGATCTGTGGTACCCAGCATTTCCATGAAGTGCTGAATAACACCACTTGGCATTGCTGGAAAGGCAGGCTTTTCTGTAGGACTCAACCCTCTTGGCTGCTCTTCTGTGTAGCCATAGAAAATAAGTACCATCATTTATGAGCTAAGAATTGTATATTTCCTTTTATCCTAAATTACAAAAAGTTTGGAAAGAAATTATTTTTAAAAGCATTTAAAGTAACTATCTTTTGATAGTACATTTGGTGATTTTGATGTTGTAATTTAACAGAACAGTCAGACTCTCCATTATGCTCAAATCAAGATGTTTAAATTACATTTTGTTTTGTCTTCTATTAAGTATAAAGGAATGTGTTCATATGTAAAATGTGTGTTGCTGAATGTGAACAGTTTACACACATAACTTGTACTTTTTTCTACAATTACCCTGTATATAAGGCAGGCAGGTACTCCATGCCTTTAAACCGAGCATTGGAGGGTAGAGGTAGGAGGATTGTTCAAGACCAGCCTGAGATACATGAAAGTCTGTATCAAAAAAGCAAAGTAATGAAAATTACTATATATAACAAAATATGATGCTTTAAGAGGGTGTGTTTTATTTGTTATTTATCGGCTTGGACATAGATAATTTGACCCATATTGGAGAATACCAGCAACAGTTTAAAAATACATGTGCAGTGTTTTGGTTTCTTATTTTAACAGTTTGTATGGTTGTGTGTTTTGTTTTTGTTATTTTTTTTTGTTTTTCTGAATTTACCAAGTTCTCTGGTAAATTTTTTTTCGTATCTAGTTTTTATCGTTTACCTTATTACTAAAATGTTTGACTAAATTCCTATGCTCAGAATAAATATTTCAAAAGGGATCCAATAATGCTGGACTTTTAAATAATAAATAACTTTTTTTAAGTTGAATATTCTGCCTTTGTATCACTTTATCATTTTGTTACCTTCCTGGCAAGTGTGTGTACGTAATGTGCCAGAGCACATTTGCAAAGAGCTTTGAGAGGGATTCGAACTGTCCCCAGTAGCAGTGTAATTTCAGTAGACGGAGATGAGGGTAAGGTCTCAGCAGAAGAAACAGTATCTTCAGAACAAGGGTGTGTGAAGATGGATGCTAAAAAGAAATCCCACAGTAGCTCAGAACTGAGTATAATAAAGTATTTATTTAGGGGTAGACTCACAGATCACAGTTCTCTGCCTGAACGGGGAACAGGAACCGAATCCAGCAGCCGGAAGAGAGGGAGAGGGAGGAGAATGCAAGCTGCAAGCTTTAGGGCTCCATTTATAGTATATGAGACTACACCGAAGTGGACTGGTATCTTAAAGGCTATGGGCTGAAGGAATTGCCACAACAGGTGTGTACAGGATTTAGAGAGCAGTGAGCGTGACCTGGACTGAGTGTGGTCAAGTGGTGTGTTTGAGTTGAGGTCTTACCATGCACCTCTGGCTTCTTGGAACTCACTGCATAGACCAGGGAAGGCTTGAACTCATAGAATTCTTGTCTGTGCCTCCCAAGAGCTGGATTAGAGACGTTTAATCATGTTTAGGCCTGTGATCAGGTGTTAAAGGACCTAAATTACCCTTACTAATTCAAATTAATTGCATGTTAGCCACCTCCAATTTGTTTTGAAAAATGGAAGTTTTATATTATGGTGTACAATAACATGGCATACACCATAATATAAATTTTGGAACTTTGACATTTCAAAAGAATTTTTTTGTGTCCTGGCTGCAGAGAGTAATACTAGGCAATTGCTATCTCCATAAGGCACAGAACTAGGACTTGGATTTGTCCGTGAAATCGTAAGCCAGATAGTCAGGCCGGATGCTTCTCCAAAAGAACATTTTGTGGTGACTCCAAATTACTTACGCTGCTGGTTCATAATAGACAGTAAAATGGTTTCTGGATTTGAGAATTGCTAATTATACATGGTCAACATACACGTCAGTGTTTCTGTCTCCTTCCCCAGAGGCATTTTTTAACAGTGTTTTGTTCTTTTGAGCGCATGCTTGCACACACAGTAGCTTTTTAAACTCATGATAGCAGATGATCCATATTTGCAGAAATTGCTTAATTTTTTTAATTTATTTTATGGTTTCAAAACTTGGTCATAGTAAGAAGGTTTATAATTCTGATTCTAGAAGAATTCTCCTTTTGTTGTTGTTTAGAATACTTTTTACATATTTTTGATTTTTCTTTCATCCAGAGAGAATTCCCCTGGAGCTTACTAGTGAAAGGTGCATAGCGATCCAGTTTTTCTTTGCTTCCCGAATGCTATTCAACACAGTATATTCAACACTACTATTACATACTAAGTTTCTTTATAAATTCTGGTCTACTTTTAGACTTTGTGGATCTGTCCACTGTGATGGGTTTTATTTTTTATTTATTTATTTATTTTTTTGTGATGGGTTTTATATGCTAGAGCTGATCTTTATTACTTTTCAGAATGGCTTCATAGGTTTTTTTCTATTTCTTTTTAGCTTGTAATTTATGTATGTAGAATAAATTTATTGTAGTCTGTACTCCTTAGCTTTTTGTTTGTTGGTTTGTTTTTTGGGGGGGTTATTTGTTTGTTTGATCTTTGAGACAGGGTTTCTCTTTGTAATCTTGGCTATCTTGACTTGCTCTGTAGACCAAGCTGGCCTTGAACTCACAGAGATCCACTTGCCTCTGCCTCCCGAGTGCTGGAATTAAAGGCGTGCGCCACCACCTCCTGGCATGTACTCTTTAGCTTTAACAGATACTTAGATGGCGTTTCCACCATCACAGCCCCACCACCCTCAAAATACCCTTCACTCTGTCAGGCATGGTGGTGCATGCCTTTAACTCAGCACTCAGGAGGAGAAGGCTGGTGAATCTCTGTAAGTCTGAGGCCAGCCTGATCTGCACAGCAATTTCCAAGACAGCCAGGACTGCACAGAGAAATCCTGACTTGAAAAACCAAAAGGAAGCGGGGGGAAAACCTATGTCACCTCAAATTATGACTGATTAATTTCCTGTTCTTAAAATTTTACTTTTTGATAAATTACCACTAATTAATTTTCTAACCCTATAATTCTACCTTTTAAAATGTATTAGATTTTTGTTGTTGTCTTTATTGAGGTATATATTTTTCTCTGCTTCCTCCTCCCTCCGGTTCTACCCTGTCCCATGATCCCCATGCTCCCAATTTACTCAGGAGCTCTTGTCTTTTTTTACTCATCATGTAGGTTAGATCCATGTATGTCCCTCTTAGGGTCCTCTTTATTCTCTAGGTTCTCTGGGAAGTATTGAATAATTTTTCTAAAAGATACTCTCACTATAGCACTGTCTGTCAACCCTTTAATACAGTTATACAGTTGCTCATGTTGTGGTGACTCCCCAACCATAAAACTACTTTTATTGCTACTTCATAACTGTGATTTTGTTACTGTTATGAATTGTAATGCAAATATCTGTGTTTTTCAGTGGTCTTAGGTGACCCCCGAGAAAGGTTTTTTTTTTTTTTTTACCCTCAAAGGATCCATGACCAAGGGTTGAGAACCACTGTACTGCAGCCCTGTCTGACCTGGCACTCACGTAGGTCAAATTGTTTTTGTAGCTGATGTTCAGCAGTAATCTATAATACCTTAATGTGGTTATTCTTATTAGGGATGTTGCTATTGCTATTAATACAGTTATTTTAGGAGTCACGATAGGGTAATTTATCATTTACAGTTCTGCAGTGGTTGTACTTGCCTGTGAGCTCACACTTAGGAAGTAGGGCAGGAAGCCTAAGGATACTCTCAGTTACTGAGCAAGTTTGCTGACATTTTAGACCACAGAACAGAAAGATTCTAATGGAACTCATTTATACTGTATAAATCATCTTTCTTATTGTATGAATATTTGAATATTCTTTCCTTTATACTGATTTTGTGCTTGGCTTCTGTGCTGATTGCTCATTTACAGCATTCAAAGCCACTATTCTATAAATAATGGCAATCTTACAGCTTTTTATATTTGTAATTTTCTCTTTTCTCCTTTTTTGTGTGACTTCTTTCTCTTGCTGAATGAGAGCAGCCGAGCTGGCCATCCACGCGGCTTTGGGCCGCCATTTACCTTCTCTGTCCTTGGCAGCCCTTTCTTGTGTGCTGTGGCTTTGAGTTTCACATTCTCCTTTGTTTTGGGGAAACTGGCATTTGCAGCTCTGTTTCTTGATCTTACGGGGATGACTCTTCAAAGAGCAGACAAGCAAGTTGTTGCCACCAGAGTCTCACGGACAGCTTAAAAAGGCCATGCTAATCCACACTGAAATCCTTGCTGGGGAAAATTCGTTCCCCACTCCCTACTCCTCATCCCTTCTGTCTTCAGTTTTTATTGTCGGTCAGCGAAATCCCCTCAGCTCAAATGTACTCTAGCACAGAGCTGTTTTCCAGTGCTGGCACCACCGGCTTTTAGTGTAGCCTTAGTGGCTTGCTTCCAAAGAATAAAATATGGAAAAGGAAAAATCGTAAGTTTACCCTCCAGCCTGCTGACAGATCCTGCCTCGCCTGTCCGTGGTAAACAGCCGTGATAAGCTGTGCTGATGTGCCTTTCACGGGGCTGGAGGGATGGCTCTGAGGACCTTGGTGCAGTCCCCAGTACCCATGTGTGATGTGGGAGTGTCATATATCAATCTGTTGATTTCATTGGTTAAGCAATAAAGAAACTGCTTGGCCCTCACAGGTTAAAACATAGGTGGGAGGAGTAAACAGAACGGAATGCTGGGAGGAAGAAGTGAGCTCAGACTCGACAGCTCTCCTCTCAGGAGCAGACACCTCAGAGAGATGCCATGCTCCCCTCTCCTGGGCAGACACTGGGATAGCTCTGCTCTCTGAGGCACACGCGATGAAGCTCCGACCCAGGATGGACGTAAGCTAGAATCTCCCTGGTAAGCCACCTCGTGGGCTACACAGATAATTAGAAATGGGCTAGTCCAGGTGCGAGAATTAGCCTAGAAGAGGCTAGATAGAAATGGGCCAAGCAGTGTTTAAATGAATACAGTTTGTGTGTTGTTATTTCGGGCATAAGCTAGCCAGGCGGCCGGGTGCTGGGGACGCAGCCCTGCCGCTCCTAATACTACACATGTGTCCCCACATGGCGGCTCACACCTATCTGTAACTCCAGTTCCGGCCTCCTCAGGCACTGCACACGTGTGAAGCAAAATACCTGTACATATAAAAATATCTAAATCTTTAGGGAAAAAAAATGTGGCTTCCAGAATGTGTCGGTGAGAGACACTCTGAGATGAAAACTCATGTTCTCACTCTCTGGAGTCTGTCGTCATGAGGAAAACAGAAACCGAAGTAGATAACGGTTAATCCTCAAAGCTGAGACAGTTGTAGGGAGCATGGGGGAAAGGAGGAAATTCAGGTCAGAAGAGCAATGCGGTATGTCTCTGGTGGTCCTGCAAGAGGAAGAAGACTTTGGTGGGAAAATAGTTGAAATTCAAGTATATTCAGGAGTTCCTTTGATGTCCCAGTGTGCCTGCTGTGGTCCCAGGGCTGGGGTCCCTTAAAAATTTGCATACTATAGGCTGCCTTCTCCCAAATGATGTTTTTCAAAGGAGGAACTTTGAGATGTGATTAAGGCATGAGAATTGAATTTCCATGGGGTTAACCCTTTTTTTTCCCAGCCTTTTAGAATCTTTTAATTTATTTCATTTATTATTTATGTTACATCCTGACCCCAAGTTTCCCCTTCTCCTCCCATTCCCAGGCACCCTCTTCTTCCCCTCTGCTCCTCTCCCATCTACTACTCTGCTTCTGTTCAGAAAGGGGCAGGCTTCTGCAGTTGTCAATAAGGCAAGGCATCTCAAGCTGCAGTATGGGCCAGGCAAGATTATCCCTAAGAGACCCCAGAAAGCTAGCCTGGTCTTTGATTATGGAGACGCAGGATGAAGGG